AGCAAACAATGAGTACAATAGTGTGGATGTGTGCATGGACAGCAGAGTGGCAGTGTGTCAGAAACAGGAGCACATGGACACTGGGACAAAGAGCTGAGTTTAAGGGTATGTTGTAATGAGATCCAGTCATCAACGGCTGCAGAGCGGAAGTCGTGTCCAAACACAGTGGACCTCACAGTCACAGCCCACACGCTTTAGCTGATAACATCTCTGAGACACCAAATGCCACGAGAATGTCACTTCTATTCTTTAAAGGGACAGGGAAGAGCTCCAATACTGATGCCCCAACACAAGAAGAACAGATCCACAGTGTATTGAGCGACTCTTCAATGTTGTGTCATGACAGTATGAATGGGTTTGATGTGAGCAGACATTTAAATCCATTCAGGGCCACTGTTACTTCATGTTCTTATGGCAGAATAAGATTTTGACCCCAAGCTGCCTTAACGGGTCCTTGGTTCTTACCCCAGTCCATATAAAATGTATTAACAACATGGAGTGACTGTGCTGATGTGCTGAGCCTGGTTGTGATCGTATATTGTCCAGTTCTACATGTTTTTCTTTTTTCTTTTGTTATGTCATGTCTGAATATTAATGCTGCCAACTCCCTGCACCAAGCCAAATTTCTACTTGAGGAGACAAAATAAATGAAAACGTGAACCTCAAACCTTAAACCTAAATCAAGAAAAGAAGTTTGTCCGTTTCAAAAACTGTCCTCAATCTACATTCATGACATCAGATTCTACAACACTGTGGACACAACCCTTAAATTTCTCTCCTACTGAAAGGAGCCAGACGTTCAATCAATATCCAGCTAAAGATAGCTCCTGAGGTAAGGCGCTGAAGCCCAGATAACCTTCTCTCCGCTGGATTCCTGCTCCATCGCCTGAACACTGGTGTTCTGGGCTTTAAACACAGTTTTGGGTGACACTGTGCTCAGCTCATATTAATAGGGCTGGACAGTGGATGGCGAGTTTATCTCGACAAGAATAGGTTATATTTAGTAAAGACATGAGCCGAGCAGCAGCTGCAATGGAGTAAATCTGAAAATGGAAAGTGCTCCCATGGGTGACAACGCCTTATCCTCCACTTTCATTAGGCTATATCTCTCTAACAGACTGGGGACATATGTTTCCATGCACACATACTAGTGACCCCTGACCTATCAAAGCATTGTTTTCCTGGACACAGAGGAATGTTATTTTTGCTGAAGTCACAAACTTTACTTTATTGCAAAAAAAGGAACAGAAACAGCAGTTTGAAAAAGCAGACAAACAGCATGGAAGTGCTCTGAGCTAATGTCACTACAGGAAGACTAATCGTCAGGTCTTTTGTTTATTGCAAATAAAGTGGTCTAAACATTTCATATGCCCTTGTTTTTTTTTTTTCTAATGCATAAACAATTGTGAAGGAATTGGGTTATATGTACTTAGAACTACATTTTACCTATTGATGTTAGGTCGGTTCTGTTTTTGCATCTGTTTGGACAACCTTATGTAGCTGTTCTATCTCATCATAGAATAGGCTATAACACTTGTCTTTCTATTCTATTTACTATTATAGCTTGTGTGTGCTTGCTAGCACTTGCTAACACCAACACAACATCTTTGTTGCTAGGCAACAGTCCAGCTTTATCTGAAATGGCCCTCATTAGGTTCAATGTGTTGATTTTCATTTGTTCCGTTCCATTTCCATTCCATCATTTTCACATATGTCATGTGCAATAAAGTTATGTTTTTTTAAAGAAACTGTTTTTTCCAGACTTCCTGGTGCATTAACAGCTTTATGAGTAGTTTCCTATCATCAATCAAATCTAAAAGCCTCAGGACATGGCATAAGCATTTTCAACTCATCAAACACTTAGCAAAGGAAAAAAGCCACCTCATCTGCACCACACGGACATACAAACTACAACTTGCTTTGCTTTCTTATTGAAAATCTCTGAACAAATTGTTTAAATTAGAATTAAATAGCCCAGGAATCAAAACTGGAAAAAGTTAAACCATTTTTACCAAATCTAAATTCAAAATATTTAGACAAAATAACTTAATCAAGTCAAGTGCTAATCCATGAGGGAACTGTTAGAAGTGGATTATTAGGAGGTGTTCAGAGTGGTTCAAGTCCAATGACAGAGGACAGACATGTGGCAGATAGTCTGTGTTCAGGAGACTCCTCCTCCGTCTGCAGGCAGATTTATCACGCTCAAAGATCAAACCAGTGAAGGTGGTGTCCTTCACAAACTCAATAAGGGCAATATAACAAGGAATTGGGTTGCAGATATCTGTTTATTACATATCCAGAACTCATAATGATAGAAAATAAACCTGCCATACATCACTACAGGTTACGGATAATATCCCAGGTGGCATCACAATGAGACAGTGAGACTGATATTACCACAAGTGAAATTGATGTCAAACATTTTGTATATTTACTAATATATGAGTGCAATAGTATGCAAGATAGAGGATTGAATAAAGCCAGATTGGAAAAAATGCTTTGCTGCTTTTGGTGCAGTGGACCCTGGCCCACACTTCATCCTGATCCACATGGAGCACCACAAACCCATCAAGACAACCTGCACATTACAGGGGCTCACAAATTCAGGAATCAAACGTCTTTGTTGTGGTGTGGATTTTAAGTCTGTAACCTCATTCTCCTCACTGACAATTGTCAAAAACTGCAATCTATAGCATAAACTAAGATAGTTTTTGATCTCTCACAGTAACCGTTTCTGTGTATTGGATTGTATTACACTCAGCCCAGCTGAGTTGACTGCAAATACATGAATTTCGATCAAGATTCAACATAATATGAATTGCAAAAATAAAGGTTAAATGATCACAATATTTTTATCCTGCGGGTTGGAGCAGTGTGGGTTTACCTGTTCCTTGCAGGCGCAGAACATCACTGCTCTCATTAGAAACTGCTTCTGTGCTGTCTCATAGCAACCTAAAAATAGAAATGTCCCTGTTAGGCTGTATATAGCTGTGATGGCTGCTGCTGCTGCAGTTTGGGTCTATTTAATTGTCAAGTAATTGTATGTATATGAACAAAATGGAGTACAAGGAAGCATTGGGTGCAATGCAGGTGATAACAGCTGACTCTAAATTATACCCAAATAATTAGTCACCACATGCTCTAAAAAGCAATGAAAAACTACTGCTTATCAATCACATTCTGTTATATCTATAACAGAACACACGTCTCTCTTTACTTATATTTTGAAGCTGCTGAAATAATGTAGCAACTGTCATGTCAAACTATTGTTCATTTCATATCAAAAGGAAGGACATGTAAAAGACTTTACTGTGGCATTTAGCCCATTACAAGCAAGACGACTGCCATAACTGGGATTCTGCAGTTGGGGTGTTTAAAAGATTTCAGATTTATTTTAAGAGAAATGTTAAAAATCTGAAAAGTGAATAGCCTAATCATGGGTTTCAAATGACAACACTGTTACTGAAATGTAAATACAAATTTGATAGCTTTTGAATGCTGAAAAGTCCTCACAAAATCTGGAAGGAATCATTTCCCTGAAGTTTTGATGGATTAAAAAATAAACACAGAGGGATTAAAGAATAACAAGGATGATTATATGCAATTCAGTCAATGCACAAACTCAAACCTTCATCTGATCTAGCTCACTGTATGTACCTACTGTTAGAAAAATGATTTTTATATTATTATTATTATTATTATTATTATTATTATGTTCTAAAATGTTTGTTTGTTTGTTGTTGTTATTCTTGTTGTTGGAGTTTGTTTTTTTTAACTTATAGACTTTTATACCTGTCTGCAGCCCAGAAGATTGACAAGCATATCATTATAGTCTACTGTTTTACTAAAGTCTCAGCAGGTGTCCAGCGCACACGACATTTCCATGTGATGAGCAGACAGGAGCATGAGGACAGCGGTGCTCATCTGACGCGATGTATTTTGGTCCACTCTGACGTCAACCGAACACACGTTTCATTCAACAAGCAAGAAAGTAAGTTATTTATAACCCACAGCATCTACAGGTTGTGATCAGTGCGCAGCGCGAGGAATACTCCCCATTGGACTGATGTAGTGCGCGCTCATAATAAGCTGCGCGGCTCGTGCGCCATGGAGCCAGAGAGCTACGGCACTCGCTGATCTCAACAATCTTAAGGACTCAATTTACAACCAGCGATCACATGAAGTGTGGCTTATAGCCTTTAATGCTGGCGTCTAACGACGCATCCGTTACTTTGAGGATGGAAACAATCTTATCAATTCAGGTAAGATGTTATAAAGTTCTAATGAACCTTTCTTGTGTTAAATGTTCCATCCTTACGTCGTGGATACGATAAGATGCCAACGTAGAATGCGAGGTCTCCAAAGAAACTCGAGTAAATGTCTAATCTTCAACTAATTGGACAATAGCCTAGTGATTTGTGATATTGTTTTAATGTGTTTTGTATAAAAGAAGCTGGACCAATCAAGAGCTCTCGACCCTAATGAAGCGCGTCAGTCGACAAGTTGCGATCAGAACCCTGGACAGCGCTCTGCTCTTGCCTCGATGTTCTCCGCTGGGTCCGAGCCCCAGAGCGCTTAACTGTTGTCGCATGATTCTAGCCCAATAGAAATATCCAGAAGTGTGTATATATTTAAGGCTTAATATACGCTACCTTCTTCACTTTCCAATTTGCGAACTAGTCTCTATTTTTACAAACATTTTCTTTGTTGCCTTTATTGATGTAGTCAATACACACTTATTCCTGCGTGTGGGTATTTATCAGGTGATCAGACACAGGGAAGATATTGTCCTGAAGCACTGACTTATAACTGTAATTGGATTTCACATATATGTTAAAACGTCACGTCACATTTCATATCTTATTTTTAACTTGTGAATTGAGACAGAGTGCCACCTGGTGGTGCTGATAAGACATAATGTTCAGCTAATGGCTCATGTGTCGTGTGCCCTCAGTGCTGTGGGCTGTAGGTGGACCAGGGGAGAGCTGTGATTGGCTGAGATGGCTGACATCCTGGAACTCCGGACAGATGGGAACTCTCTGCTGAAGGCGGTGTGGCTGCGGCGGCTCAGACTGACCAGGTTGCTGCTGGAGGGTGGGGCTTACATTAATGAGAGTAACGAGAGAGGAGAGACTCCTCTGATGGTGGCATGTATGTCCTCACATTCTGACCAGCAGAGCGTCAGCAAAGACAAACTGGTCAAATACCTTCTGGATAACCAGGCAGATCCTAACATCCAGGACAAGGCAGGCCGCACTGCCCTGATGCACGCATGCATACACCGTGCTGGGCACGAGGTGGTGGAGCTGCTGCTGAGTAATGGAGCTGACCCAAGCCTAGAAGATCGCACTGGGGCCTCAGCTCTGGTCTACGCCATCAATGCAGATGACAAGGAAACTCTCAAACTGCTACTAGACGCCTGCAAGGCCAAAGGCAAAGAGGTGATTATCATCACTACAGACAAGTCCCCCTCAGGGACTAAAACCACCAAGCAGTACCTGAATGTGCCCCCTTCCCCAGAGCTGGACAATCGCTCCTTCTCCACATTCTGTACCTCTCCATCAGACATTGAGGTGACGGCTGAGACAGAACAGCAGAACTCTGTCTTCAGCTTTCAAACCAAGATGAAAATGTCCAGTTCAACAGGGAAACCCTCAAATGGTCCTAGTTCTCCAAGCCGACGGCCCACTAACCCAAAACGTGCACGTCTGCCTCAGCTGAAGAGGCTGCAGTCAGAGCCATGGGGGCTCATAGCACCCTCTGTGTTAGCTGCTGCTGCTGCTGCTCAGGAGGAGAGTAAGAAAGCCAGCTGTGAGGAAGTGGTTTCAGGAATAAATGGACTGTCCCTGAGCAAGAGGCCGGTTTTATCTCGACACAACAGTGTGGATGGGAAAGACAGTATGTTTCCTATAATGGGGGAGCAACCACGTAAAATGAGCACATCCCTGTCAGTGCCCCCCACATCAAAAACCTCATATGAGCGCTGTGTGAGCCAGCACCAGCCCCTGGCCCGCCGCAGCACCGTGCCCTCAGAACAGGATGTGCCCAGGAGGAGAGTGGGGAATGAGCACTACGACTCAGACTCACAGCTGTATTCTGATTCTGTCTCAGACTCTCCCAAAGTCCCACTGGAGAGGAGAAAACTCAATACCTCTCCTCTGGCACTGCTCACTAGCTCCAGAGAGTCTTTGGACAGCAACAGCAGCACATCATCTCCCAGCACGGCTCGTAGACGAGCTCCCGGCCTGCTGGAGCGCCGGGGCTCAGGCACTCTGCTCCTGGACCACATCTCACACACTCGGCCCGGACAGCTGCCTCCCCTCAATGTCAACCCAAACCCCCCTATTCCAGACATAGGAGTCAGTAGCAAGCCCTCCTCTCCTCTGGCCTCAGGCATCAGATCCATAGCTCCAGTAGCACCCAACACACCAAAGAGAGGCGGCCTAGTGTCCAAGAAGAAGCTGGTGAGAAGGCACTCTATGCAAGTGGAGCAGATGAAGCAGCTCTCAGATTTTGAAGAGTTGGCTCATTAGTGCACACAAGGCCTTGGTGTCGGACATTATACCCTTTCAGAGTTATGTCACGTGCGCCTATGTTGTATGTAGCCTACAATGTATTTATATGTAGTTGGAATACATAGAAAAAGAGCAATACAGTTTTTCCACAACTAAGCCCTTTTTAGGGGACAGTTCAACTCTGTTATAAATGGTATGTATTGCAGTTTGAATGTATTCATGGATTTAAAGTGACATTACGCAGCATTCAGATGTACCATTTACAGGGTCCCAGCACAAATGTGACTAAATATATGGCCCTGTTGTTTTTCTGCTGCAAACATAATGGCACAACATTTCAAAACATGTCAAAATGAATCAACTTCACTACTGCTTAATGAACTGTAAATATGCTAGCAACAGATATAGGCTAGTGTTTCAATTAGCATTTGTGTAAAAAAAAAAAAAAAAGTGACAGTCTATAATTACTATATAAAAGTTGTAAAGTTGGCCACCACATCAGAAAAGTCACATGACTGAAACCAATGAATATGCCTTCTGATATTTTCCTGGAACTAGCTCTTTCAATATAGTAATGTGTTCGGAATAACAGGGTCCACAGCAGCCCAACGCCACTGTGGTGCACTTTGTGATAGACAGTATTGTCATGCTCCTGTCTGATATGTAGCTTTGAGTATGATGAAAAGTCACTGTTTGTAGCAAATATGTATGAAGTGCCTTCAAGACAAACAACCTTAAAAAACATACATTTAATGTGCATTTAATTTGTATGTAACCAAAATATGTTATGTTTCTGGCCTGCACTGGAGATGTTAGACTGAATTCACGCCTTAAGATGAAGGTATGGAGCAAAGACTAAAGGCAATCAAAACTGAAGATCACACCACTTCCATGTGTCTTATTTGTGATGAAAAGTATTTTTGCAGGTAGTTTGATGTATATTCTGAATAAATGTGTAAGCCCATCCCTGGTTTGTGTTTATTACTGTGAAAGATGTGACATATGGGCCTTCCTTCTAAATTCTAGTGTCTTTTGTTCCAGTGCACAGCATAGAGGGATAATAAACCTTTCAGCAATGTAAATGATAAGGTTCAGTATTTATGGATTTTTTTTAGGGCGGCTCTACTTATATTATCAATATATAAAACTAATAATACAGCTTCAGTTATCAGAGAGAAAGAGAGAGAGAGAGAGAGAGAGAGACAGACAGACACAGAGAGAAAGAGAGAGAGAGAGAGAGAAAGAAAGAGAAAGAGAGACAGAGAGGGAGAGTCATCAACACATTGCATTGTTCAAATTGTTCATGTGATTGAAACCTTCGGTCTAATGATCACAAACCTGTTGACTTCGACAATCACTGACTCATATCAAGTGTAACAAACTGAAAATTAAAACAGTGAAGACACGGTTGAATTCTCTCTCTGGAGAGTTTCCTCCAGATCTCACAAATTGGGAGGATTTCAGACATAATGAGCAACACCACAAGAGCTTACTTACCTAAAACCAAAGATAAAAAGGTTACGAAACAAACGGTGCAAAACACACTGAACTATATTAGCTGGGATTAGCTGTGCCCTATTTTCTCAATTGGAGTTTTAGGGCCTCATGCCAACAGCTTTTTTGTTGTTGTTGTTGTTTAATTTAATACTTTCTTAAAGGTGCACCACACACTAACTTGGATGGCCTGCCAGCTGCTTGTCTTTAAAGAAGAGTGTCTGCTATGACACCCGAGGATCATCATCGTCATCATCACAACTAAGAGCTGTGAAGTTGATATTGCATTGCCTAGAAATATTCCACAGTGTGGCATTAGACTATCCCATGGAGTCAAGCAGATGATGCAACCAGGACAAGTTACAGGTCAGAGCTGTGCAGCCCACTCCCAATAAGAATGAATGTTTTTCAATCTATATTTGTTAGCAATAAAAAAGTGAGCTTGATAACTTTAATGCCATACTGGGGGATATTACAAGTAAATCAATATCATTAGGTTATATTAAGACAAACTGGTTAAGGATCAGCCACCAGAAAAGTTACATACTGCACCTTTAAAATTCACATATTTTATTAACATTTTATTTCTAGATTCTGGTGTTTCAGATTTCCTCCAGCAGAGGGCACTTTATGCTTCAGTTAAAGTTACAGTCCCAGGTAAGCAAGCGTCTGCAATGTCCTTTACGTACTAGAAGCTGCCCATGACCCAACAGAATAAGTACTATTTTGTACCATGGTCTGGTATAAAGGCCTTGATATTTGGCTGTTACAGTTTTTGTCTGGGGGAAGAGATGTGAGCAGGTGGTGCGTTGTATGAATGTCTGGGCTTGGTATAGCCTACGTGCTGAGCTAAAATTAGCTGTGCTTGTGTCGAGACGACGTGGGATCAGACTCAGGTGGATTTAAGACTGAGCCACTTTCACTTTTGGGACGCTCTGTGATCTAGACAGCAAATAGGCAAATCCAATCAAAGACACGGTCCACTGTTCCCTAGAGATCATGGGAAATAGGCTACAGACTAATCTACAGGTCCACATAATGCTGAACTGCACCGGTATTAATGCAAGGGCACACACACTGGTCCACAGAGACACTCGACTTGTCCAAGAGGCAGACACACATTCGGGCGCACAGACACTGGCCCGCAAAAAGAGGCCTCCTGCACAGTTCTCCTGCCAGAAAAAACAGCCACCCACAGGACAGTTATGATGCTATATGTACACCTACGTGAGACAAATGTAGCCTAAATCACACTTCATTCAGATAGGTCTAGTAGTTGGAAGTCGGTGTTGGACGAAAGTTGGCTTTCATGTCCAATGAGCCCATCGAGCCCCGCCTACAGTTCAGATCCAAAGGTTTAAATCATAAAATTGTCAGTGACAGAAAGTTGTAAAAAGTTGCATAAAGTTGTAAAAGCAAGTTGTAAAAAGTTATAAAAAGCTGTAAAAATTTGTAATCTAAATCTGGCAGACATATGATTTAATCTTTACCTAAACTTTTGATCCTATTATACAACAGGCGGAAGCAAAAAAGCAAAAGCTGTTCGTACATTTTGAATCATTTGTCTTAAATTTGGGGCCAGCGGTTCAAGAATTCAATCATATGATGGAGAAAACCCATGGGAAAAACTAGGTCTCATATATGACCATGTTGATTTAACACAAGCGCACCATGTCCGCGTCTGATTTCTCTTTCCTCGCTTCCTTCTCCATAATTCCTCTCCTCTATTCTGCAGGAAATGGGTGAAGAAGTCCCACCCACTGAGGAAACATGAGTGCAAAGGATCTAAACTCCTCACTAAGACCAATTAAGTTAGATTAATTAATTAATCTGATGTCTGCCTCCTGAAGCCTCCCTCATGTTTGCTCCTTCCTTCCGTGGGTTTCTTTGGGACACCGCTTAAAATGACACGTAATAATTATTTGATTGACAGCTGAAAAATGGAGGCTGCGAGAAATCAAGGAGAAGGAATCGAGGAAAGAGAAATGAGACGCGGCCCTTGTGCTTGACGGGGTGCAGAATTTTGCACATGTACTTCCTGTGACGTAGAGCGGGAGACGCGGTGGGCGGCGCTGCAGAGGAGCAGATCTATATTGCAGACGCGCTGCGAGCGTCTTTCCCCTCTCTGCTCTGAGTTACGGTGGTGTTGAGCCGCAAAGTGAACCGGGCCACACAGTCATGGCTGGATATCTGAAAGTCCTCAGCTCTCTGTCGAGGGGCGCTGCCACTGCGTTCTCCCGAAACCCCGCGGTGCTGGCCCCGGCCGCCAACTGCCTGTCTCTGCAACAAAGAAACTGTGAGTGCTGCCGCTCATCCTCATCAGCATCTCTATATCCGCTAGTCTGCTGCATACTGCGGGCTGCTAACATGGCGCTTCTGCTGGATCTCGGGTTACAGTCTGCTAAAGCTAACCCATTCAAAAGGCACCACATGAAACAAGAACTGTGCCGTCGAAAGACGCACGGGGTAGAAAAAAGAAAAACTCATGCAGCGCTAACCAATGAAACAGAGGTTTTATTTGTAGTATAATGGATAGCATACTTCGCTAATGCCGGTGAAGATGGTTAAAAGGGTCAAGGAAAATGCGCGATGGAAACCGGCGGAAACGACTCGTGTCAAATATAGACTCGCCGACAGTCATGAGACGCCCAGAGACGCGGTTTAGGGACAAAGCGGAGGTTTGTGCGGTCAAACTTGTCCAAGGTCAGCCTCCGCAAACTGAATTGAATGAACGGTGCAATGGCCGCCTTCACTTTGTGTCCTGTGCGTCCATGATTATCCGGATCACCATCCGCTCATGGAATCCACTTTCACTGTGACAGAGACTCAGGCCACAAGCTCTTACAGCTGCACTTCTGCGGCATGGTTGATTACATATCATCAAACCGTCTCTGCTTTATTCTAGATGTAAATAAATGCATAATTCTTGTTTGCCCTGAATGTCTTTGCGCTGATTACGGGGGTCAGATGAAGGGCGCTCCGGAGTCGTTTTGGGTGTTGAGTCAACAGCACAGACCGGTCAAGTGACCCAGGACTTCATTTAGAATCAGAGGTTGTGATCAGACACCTAGTGGCCAAACCTGACGCACTTTGTAGCACGTCTTGGCTCGTGCCTGTGCACACCTCTGAAATTAAATGGCTGCATCTGTTTTAGTCTTACAGTAACTCATACTAAATTTGAGTTATTGTAAATAAAGTTTATAATCCAAAGAATTATTATGTAGGTTAAAGGTTGACCCACGATCTTGGCATATGTTTTCTCTTCACTCTGGATGACAGCTGTATGCTGTACATTCATGTGTAGGGAGGGGGCAGTGTGAGAGCTGCTGCTGTTTGCTTTTGCTTTTGCTACAGAGTAACCCATGTGTGGGTGCTTACCTGCAAAGTGTAGCTCTCCACAGTGGGATTACAAGATTGTTTAACACAATCTGTTATTATGTGGACACAATCTGTTATTATGTGGACCTTCATACTTTAAACAGCATTTGATCAATATAAAGTTGGAAAGGAAGAATTGCCAGTAGGGTAGACTAAAGGCTGTCTTGGCTAGGCTGTCTGAAAAGTGTAAAATTAAAATGGTAAAGTACAGTTTGACTGTAAAACTATTTGCTTTACACTGAAATTGAGATGCTGAGACAAGTGTTGTCATTATAAACATTTTTTAAGGAAAAAGCTTGTTTGTGATTTGTGATGAAACCATCTCCACATAATCACATTTTTACACAATTTACCTTTAAACAGTGTTATTACCTCCTGCAATTTTCCTGCAAAGATGGATTTTAAACAATGCAGGAAAGGTTCAAGTGTGTTGCCCTTCATTATATAGTTGCCTGTTCAAAGCATGTTGTTTTGATACTATTAATAGCATTAGTGCATTGATTGATTGATTAATTATACAACTGTAATTGCTGAAAATGTTTCAAAATGAGATTTGTTCTGTTTCTTTTATACTGTATTGTGTTAACACCAGCTGAGCCAGCACCATTGGCTTTGGTTTGTTGAGCTGCTCCATGGTTGCATAACAAACCCCCCACCTTCACTGGTCTACTGGTTTTCACTGCTTACTTTACTTTACTAAATATAACTAATATTTTCATAACTTTTGCACACTGACGAAAATACACAACAAAGTGTATGCAATCATACCACAAAGAGCAACAATGTCCCTTTATTTTATGAACTGGGTTTGTAGTTAACTTGCTCTTTGCATGCACTCAGTGTTTTTGTTCTTTGTAACTGCATTAACCCATGTTCCTCTTCTTAGCTTTTTTGTGACCGTCCTTTCCTCTGTTAGCCAATTACATAAGACTAATGCTAGCAGTGCGTTGGGTTTATTTTGAGTTGCTGCATGGGCCCCGTACAGCTGCTGGGGCCGGTGACAACAAGCTTGATTTGAGTGTCAGACTGCACTCTAGAGGGGGGATGTGGAGAATCAAGTGTGTTAGCTTGTTTTATGTGCAGAAGTCAATGCCTAATCTGCCTCAGTCTGACTTCACAAAGTCACCTCTAATCGTGTGAGTCTGGCCTGGTCTTTCTTAACATTGGAGCACAATTATCTTGCAATTGCTTTGGCACTAAAATGATAAGGAACATTAAAGTGACATATTATGATGCCAAAAAACACTTTTGACTATCTGGGTGTATAATAGATTTACTAAAAAAGAAAAAAAAAAAAGTAGATTCAGTAATATTGTCCATATTATTAGTAACCTATTTCTTGACACTTCAGTGTTCTGTAACATACGTCCATTGTTTATGTAGCTGTTTAATGTTTTATGGTGCACTTTAAGCTTTTTCCAATGTGTTTTAACTACAAATGCTAAACACACCTAACCTTTCTGTTGTGTGTAGATGCTGACCGACGCATCAAGGTGGCCCAGCCAGTGGTGGAGATGGACGGAGATGAGATGACCCGTATCATCTGGGAGTTCATCAAGGAAAAGGTGATTATTTATTTATTGCACCTTCTGTCTGCAAAGGTCCAGACCCTTGTGAGGACAGGGGCAGACTGACGGCACTCTTGCTAAACATCAATGGTGGATGAGGGTTTATATAATATATTTACATAGTTGAGAGACGCTGCAATAGTATTAATAGTGACTGAGTTCTGCGCCTGTCCCACACACTGCCATGTGTCGGTCCACCCGGCAAAGCCAAGGGAAGTAAGAGCATATGACAAAAGCAGCAGGCTCTTCTGAAACTGCCCATTGTTCAGAAAGGCCTGTGGAAATGCATATTACAAATTATAGGTGGGCTATAATGGCAAAAAAAATTACATGATTTTCTAAAGCCACATATTCAGTCACCATTTCAGTGACGTCATGTACTTAGTGTATTATAATTTTAAGACAATTGAAGCCACTTGAGAGCATGAACAAGGCTGACCAATGGGAGAGGGCAGGGAAAATGAGAGCGGCATTCAACATAAGCACCGAATCACCTAAATATCACAGCAAGATTTTTATTGACATGAACCTAATTTATTATTTTAAAAGACTAATTACAATTTTTTTAATTTACAATCTTAAGAGTGTTGGAATTAATAATAGAAGAATGAAACACTAGTAGTTAGTTAATGAGTCATTATTTGTTTGTTTTTTTGTATTTTGTTGTTTATTTCAATCCTATACAGCTTCAATAATGACAAAAAAATGACAAAATGGTGCCCACTAGACCAATGAAAAATTTTCCACAATAAATAATGACCCCAATAATTACTGTTCCATTTATTGGCCCTGGCACGATAACAAAGAGCGATTATATTGTTGAAGTAAATATAGACTATAAACAATCTTGAATCTAAACCATAAAGCACAATTATCCCCCAAAAAGTATTCTTAATGTACGCAATTGTAGAGAAATAAGTAACATAAGGCAACGCTTTTGAGTTAGTCCGCGGAAATTCAGATTTGAGCTGAGTTTTGAACTCTGCTCAAATCTCATTGTAGAACAGAAAAATTAAATATTTCCTCCCAGTGCAAAATTATCTATTATGTACTGAACAAGAAGTACATTTTTATCATGACAGGCCTATGCCCCGCTGTATTTTAAATTAGTCCAAGGCTTGAGTAATAGAGGCTTTTTGTGTTTCAGCTGATCTTGTCCAACGTGGACGTGGAGCTGAAGTACTATGACCTGGGCCTGCCGTACCGGGACCAGACTGACGACCAGGTCACCATTGACTCTGCCCTAGCCACAAAGAAGTACCACGTTGCGGTTAAATGTGCCACCATCACACCAGACGAAGCTCGAGTGGAAGGTCTGTCCCATTAAGACTCGAGAAAGACCTGAGTCTGCTTCATTTTGTAATTGTCTGAAGCAGAGAAGTGCAGGGCCGTTTTAAAGATGAGTCATTAATTATCATATTAAATCAGTGAAACTCTACATCTAGACATCACGCACTCATTTATCTTTTTGATTTATTAAGTTGTTAGGTGGGTGAATTGTCTTGCCCAGATGCCCTCCCTGTGACAGAACAGTGACAAAAAATGTATTCCAATCTGTTTGTTTTTATTCATTTAGAGTTCAACCTAAAGAAAATGTGGAAAAGCCCAAATGGTACCATCAGAAACATTCTTGGTGGGACAGTGTTTAGAGAGCCAATCATCTGCAAGAACATTCCCCGGCTGGTTCCCGGCTGGACACAGGCCATCACCATTGGCAGACACGCCTTTGGAGACCAGGTGAGTAGTAGTATTGTTAATTATTTCCTCATTTGTAGGTCTATTGGAACATTATAACTGTGCTGAACTGTCTCATGTGGTGTGTGTCTGCAGTACAGAGCCACAGACTTTGTTGTGAACCAGCCAGGAAAGTTCAAGATCATCTTCTCCCCCAGTGACGGCAGCGCTCCCTCAGAGTGGGAGGTGTACGATTTCCCCGCTGGAGGCTGTGGCATGGGCATGTACAACACTGACGAGGTGAATGTTTGACCACTTCATCTTAATTACTTAAAACTTCAATAATTTAGAAGGCACTTCATTTAGAATGCAATGTGTGACAAGAACAGTGACAAAGCCTGATCATTCTGTGTGTCTGCTCAGTGCTGTAGTGCAGCAACAGTGTCTGAACAGGATGGGATACACGACTTTTTTTTCTAATGTCAGTTATAAATATTAACCCTTAGTGTCTATTAATGGGACTGCTGTGATATTAACCATTTTTCAAGAAGATGTCATTGGAAACCAGTCTGGTGATCAGAAGTCATAAGCCTGCTGTTCACTTCAAAAAGTAAAACAAAAAAAAAACGTACTGTATGCACTGGAACCTGCTGGCTACTGACATGTATCAACTTGCATCAACTTACTAATTGGCTACCATAGAACGTGTATGTACGTGAACAATGCCATTACATCATGTTTTATGTTTACAAGTCTGTAAGGTTACTGGATCCATGCAGAGAGCAGTCACTGCTACTTAAAATCAATTGATTCAAATGGGATTTGATACCATATTAAATGTATGGCACTAAATATATTGTAGTATGACTTTAGACTTGGAGTTGGCAGTCTGCTTCTGTTTGCTCAGCTGCTTGTCAAAAGTGTCAGAGGTCAGCGTTGATGAGCGTGAAAGTTGGGTGAACGACCTACTGTAGTGATAAAACTCTGACCTTTGACCTTTCTCTCAGTCCATCACAGGCTTCGCTCACAGCTGTTTCCAGTATGCCATCTCCAAGAAGTGGCCCCTGTACATGAGCACAAAGAACACCATCCTCAAAGCCTACGATGGCCGCTTCAAGGACATCTTCCAGGACATTTTTGAGAAGTAAGACTTCGCCCACACTGTCCTCACAAAACATTAGTGGAGCCTAATATCACAACAGTAGCCTTAATATTTAGTCCAGCAATATTCAAAGTTGATAGCATCAGCTGTTAAAGCTGTAAAAGCAATTAAAGCTGTAAATGCAGTTAAAGCTTAAACCCTTTTATGAAATCAAAAATCATGTGTTGATAGGCCCCTCCCTGTAACAAATTTTGAAGTGCGATATATTGCTGAACTAAATATAGATGATAGATTATAAATGATAATACTGAAACACTGACACAAAACAGTATTATACAATATTGTTAAAAAACAAAACAAAAAAACATGAGCTGAAATAAATAAGTAAATAGCAGAATGAAACACTTTACTTTTCATCTGTAATAAATCACTGAAGTTATTAAATCAACCTTTTACAGCTTAAATCTTGTCATATAGCCAAAAATAAATATAAATACTAAATACTGACCACAAAAAATATTGTTCCAGCTTTCAGTCACTGAATGTTAAGGCAATAGTTATTATTGTGACAGGCCTACTGTATGTGTTGGTTTAAACCTACATTGTTGTGGGTCAACACTGAAATGAGATGTGTGTACTACAAAAGTCAACACGTTAATGACCACCTTCTCTATGCTCTCCATTCTCTCCTTGTCTCATGTCTCTCTACGACTCCTTTTGTCTATAAAGTAATTGTCCCTTAAAAAGCTAGAGCATGACATTGACCGTTTCGTTCCAGGCATTACAAGCCAGAGTTTGATAAGCTGAAGATCTGGTACGAGCACAGACTGATCGATGACATGGTCGCCCAGGTGCTGAAGTCGTCTGGAGCCTTTGTATGGGCCTGTAAGAACTACGACGGAGATGTGCAGTCTGATATCCTCGCACAGGGTGAGACTTTTAACCCTTTGACCTCTGGTTTCCATGTTGTTGTTCATGGTAATGTAAGTGGTGATGTGTGTGCTTAGGCTTTGGCTCTCTGGGACTCATGACTTCTGTTCTGGTGTGTCCCGATGGAAAGACCATTGAGGCAGAGGCGGCTCACGGCACAGTGACCAGACACTACCGCGAGCACCAGAAGGTCAGTAGGCTTCTGTCAGGCTATAGTGTAAACAAGAGTGTTGCCCCCTTGTGGTGATAGAAGAAAAGGACAGGGTTTGTTCTGTGACCTTACGGAGACGGTGCTTCATGAGCTTGCAAATTACATCATACCACACTCTCCTGCAATCCTGGCTCCTGCTCACAATTGAGCCGTTATTCCTCAGTCATTTTGGTATTTTGTGAAAATATCCAAAAGGAAAAATGACAAATGTTCACCTTGACCCTTGACGATGGTGTAAAGGTATATAATAATCTATATTTTTACATAAAATACATGAAAACACTAAACATTAGATGTTCCTTATTTAAATTAAACATTCAAAATTATTCCAATGTTTATTTTTTAAATGGGTTCAATCATGGCACATGGCACAAAATTTGTATTTTGGTTGCATAAAATAAAAATTACTTCTCACTTATTTCTGTATCTACTTAAATTTGACCAATTTACACTTTGTGCCTCCAGGGAAGACCCACCAGCACTAACCCCATCGCCAGTATCTTCGCCTGGACTCGAGGCCTGGAGCATCGCGGCAAACTTGATGGCAACCCTGACCTTATAAAGTTAGTCCTGCTCATCTGTTTTACTTTTCTGTGTGTGATATTGGATTAACATGAATAATGTAATGCTGGGATGGTTTTCAGGTTCTCTCAGACACTAGAGAGGGTGTGTGTGGAGACTGTGGAGAGCGGGACAATGACAAAGGACCTTGCTGGCTGCATCCATGGCCTTTCCAAGTAAGACTTTCTAGTTGATTTTTCAGGTTTTCTTTTTTTGTTAATGTTTACAGATTTGTAAATTGAATGTTTATATTTTTCTGTTGCTTCTTAGCGTCAAGTTGAATGAGCACTATGTTAACACCACCGACTTTCTGGACGCCATCAAAACAAACCTGGATAAGGCCCTTGGAAAATGAAGATAGTATTCATGGCCCCTACTTGCTTTTGTACCTCATTTCTAACCTAAAGGTCAAAAAAAGACGTTTAACTGAAGGAAGCTATACATTGTAGGATTTATAGGCTCTTAGAGCTGTCAATCACTTGCCTCCCTCACTGTCCATTATTTCAAGGTTGTATTTTTGTAATGTGAGAACTGTAATATACTGTTACACCTTGGGAACGAAGTCCACAACAATAAATCTGGTTTGACCACACCAAGAGCAAGTTTATTATAACATTGTTAGAGCTTTTGTAGGAGAAAAATACTATATGAAATCATGTTGTTTGCTTGTCAGTAACATGGCATTGATCTCATGGTGAATGTCTCATAACAGTGATCATTATTTGCACAGACTCCAGACTGGTTTACCTCACAGTACAGTCAGAGGAGAGCACAAGGACAAGACTGACTTTGCTTTCAGGTTTTGGAAAGGTGATGTCATAGGAAGTAGCTCTCCAATACAACATCTCTGCCCTAGAACAATAAGTTTCCTTTATAAAAATGTATCCATACTGTCATTTTTGTAAGGCAAGCACAACAGAAAAAATGTCAAGAATGCAGTTTTGTCAATGTTCAGACTGTAAATAGTAAATTCTACACATCCATTTGTCTGCATTTGTTCATATGAAATAACAATAGTAGTTATGTGCAGCAATCGTTTTCCCAGTGCTATCAGATGATCTGTTAAAGAGCATTTGGGGGACACTGTACAGTCAGTTTTACACCAGTAGATGGAGCTGTCTGCACTTTTATGGGAAGAAAGGACACCGGGCAGACAAGTTGATAAGAGATTTAAGTTTTGACAAAGAAGATTAATGCTTAAGTGAACCGTTCATTTAGTCTAGTTATGTTTCTGAACCTGTTACTACACTATATAGTTGGCATTAATATGAAAAGGGTGAGAATTTAGGTGTCCGAAGCACAAGCTGGGGGCTCTGAGCCATGTGTGTCGCCCCCAAAAAATATAAAACTTTGATTACTTAATACATGTTTTTGAGCTATTTTCTGGCAAGTATGGGGTCCATAGCCCCAATAGTATGGTGTATCATGTGAAAAAAACTGGTATGAGCCACATGTGATTTCTTTGCAAAATGCAACTGGACAGAAGAGCAGGGCCTAATAGTTTCATACTCTCAGTGGAACAGTTGTGGATTAATGAGGGCTTGTTTTTTTGTTTTGTTTTTTGGTACTGTTGGCTATAGAACCTACCTGCTCTCTTACTTGGTTAAATTAAGCATGTGGTTTTGGCTGGTCAGACAAGGTAATCGGGGGGCCGATGGCTCAAATTGGGAGCTTTGCTTCTGTCACTTCCCCAGGGCAGCTGGTTATAGGAGTTACTACCATTGTGCATTAATAGACTTCAGCAAACCTCTAAAGATCATTACAAGTGCAAACCATTCTCTAAACACCCTGGCTCACCTTTAATACAGTTTTATTGGCACTTTGAAAATGTGCAAAGGATCAATATGACAGTATACTTCCCTTTTTAAAGTTACCACATCCTGATAATAGTGTGAGACGACAAAATTGCCATATGGTGACATTTCTACTTTCAACCCAGTTAAGTTCAACTTAAATGAAACATTTGACTGCTACTTCTGCTCTGTGTGAGGAGCCTGTGGGTTGAACGGGTTTCATGACACAATGAGAGTAACGCAAACATACTTTTAAACTTTTATCTGTGAGCACTGTAGCACATGACACCTTTAAGAGCAATTACCTTAAAAAGGAAAACAGTATATTTTTTATTTTTATATATATATATTTTAGCCAGTGTGGGCAGTATGTGCAATATGTAGAAGAAAAACAGCATTCTGGTTTTCTGTGCATCTTAAAGCGATAAGTTATGGGTTCGTTTTGATCATCTCTGGAAGGCTGTATCGCCCTGTGTTTTTCCCATAGGCACCATAATACGCCATGGATGACAGTTTGTTAATTTCTGCAGAGTTGTTGGTGCTGTTGTTGATACTGCCTCGATTTTCTCTTTCACTGTAGTCAAAGTTTTCCTCGTAGTCTTCCTGACCATCTGCATCTTGAGAAGGTTCTGAGGAGACAGACAGAAAAAAACATCCAATTTAAAGACTTTCATCAACTTTAATTTTGCGTCAAGAAGAAAAGAAAATGTGCTAAAAGCCAAATCACTGTGCAACAAACGAAAACGAAAAGAGGAAATAGCTTTAATGTATTGGTGAATGTGATATTTATGATTATAAAGAGCCTAGTATAGTGTAATTTGAAGAAAATAATGACTTCTAAAACCTGAACGTACCTGGCCCATCAATGCTGGTGTCCAGGATGCCGTGCTTGACCTTCATGTGGCGGCTGAGGTTGCCTTTCAGGTTGAACTTGCTGGTGCAGTAAGGACACTTGAAGGGCTTGTTGCCTGCGTGGAGATGCATGTGACCTAGGAGGTTGTACATCCTGTTGAATGACTTTCCACACACCTATAAAAAATCAATAAAGAAAGAATAAATCAATAGAGAAAAAATATCATAATTTTAAAACACGTATAATATTGTTTAGTGTTATTTATATCATAAAAACAATTGTTTTGGTCCAGTAAAATGAATGTAACTTCAGCTGAAGCACAGTATTTTTGCAGTAGTCATGTATTCTGCACTCACAAATTGTTATTTTAAAAAGATGTGGCATTTACTTCATTCATTAAACCAGAAGATTTACAGCTCAATTCTAGTTTTAACTGTTATTATGCCTTTGAGCAAGACACCTTGTGTGACTGCCTGTGAGTGTGGGACTGGTGGAGGTCAGGGGCTGTAAGTGCAGATCCCACATTTCTGTCACTTTGTCTGTGGGCAGCTGTGACTAGAGAAGTTGTTAGACCACAGAACTGACCCTGAGTTGATGTGAAATCAGCTGAACCCAACTTCAAAACAACACATGTGAGCATAAGTGTGAGTGTGAGCGATGCATACAGGACAACATGATACATAGTGTTAATAACAAGCAGCAGAATAAGGCACAGTTTCCTTTCTTACAGTGGCTTTACATGTCAGAAACCTGTTTGTGGATCCTCACCTTGCATTTGAAGGGCTTAACGGGCAGATGGACGATCATGTGTGTTTTCAGAGTCTGTTTTTGGACAAAGGTCTTGAAACAGATGTGGCACTGGAAGGGCCTGACGCTGGCATGGATCAGCATGTGTCTCTTCAGGTTGGCCGACAATGTGAACTCTCTGGAGCACACATCACATTTGAACTCCTTCATGCCCTGTTCAAACAAATACATCAGAGTTATTCATTTGGCTGCAGTTTTAGGCTATATAAGTTATTTCTGCATGAGATTAGACCTTGACTTTGAGCCCTTGAGTTGCTGTACCTTGTGTGTTAGAGCATGTTGTCTCAGGTGGTGGATCTGAACAAACTCCATGCCACACTCGGGGCAGACGTAGGGCCGCACGTTCTGGTGTTTGAGGACATGGTTCTGGAGTTGGCTGCGGTAGGAGAAGCACTTGTTGCACTCGCTGCACTGATAGCTGGTCGGGCCTTGGTGGCTGGCCTGATGGCGTTTGAGGTGGGCGTAGCTGGGAAACTCCAGTCCACACTGGGCACAGACGTGGCACTGGCCGCTCTCATGCTTGTTCTCGTGGGTCCTGAGCTCACTGGGGTAGGCGAAGCCCCGGCCACAGAAGCGGCAGGCGTAGGGCTTGATGTCTGAATGCTGGAGCATATGTCTCTTTAGATGGCTGGTCTGCGTGAATGCCTTCTCACACACGGTGCACTTGTGTGGCCGTGTGCCTTGGTGGGTCAGCAGGTGGGTCTGGAGGTGGCTGGGCTGTTTAAACAGCTTTCCACAGTGCACACACTCATGGGGCTTGATGCCACTGTGTCCCAATATATGAGTGACCAGGTTATATTTGGATGTGTACGACTTTTCACACATGCGACATTTCCAGCGTTTTAAACCCTCTCCCACGTCCACACAGTACGACTCATCAATCTGGACGTTGATGTCCAGGCGGTCGATCTGCATTCGTCGGGCAAGACCCTCTGGGTCAGACCACAGCATGGCCTGTGCACTTCCCTCATACTCGGCATGTGGGGGCTCCTCAGAGCTCTCGTAGGCCTGCTCACTGGACTCATAGTAACTTTTCTCCTGTGAACTGTCATTGTCCCCACTGATCTTAAGGTTCAAGGCCTCTTCCTGCCTCTCGGTTTCCACTTCCTCTACAGAGGCACCATCTTGTGGTGAAGTTGTGTGTATGACACTGACCAGCTCCTCTTTTGGAGACGCCTGCTGCTTGTCCACCTCAACATGTCTGTTTAGGGTACATGATGGGTGGCTGTCACACTCCAGCCTTTCCCCTTTGATGTGAGCTCCTGGGCTGGGCGTTTTGTGTGGACAGTCCCGTCTCAGGTCCTTCCCCTGAGGTCGTCTCCTCTCTTTGCATTGAGCTTCTGTGTCTCTGGCAGGATCCCGCAAGTAGTCCCCATTTGCTCCAATAAGCTGGTCAGCATACTCATACTCCATGCCCTCCTCCTGTGGAGGGGGGGCACAGTCTTTAGGCTCTCCATTGTAGAAACCATTGGGGGCTATAGTTCCTCTGAAGATCTCATTCTGTGAGATGAGGCCCAGGACGGCAGCCTGAGCCAGGGACAGTACCACCACGGGCTCAGTCTGTGTCCCCACTTCCATGAAACACAGTGTCTTCTTTGGGTACATTACTTGTGTGTGGCAGCCTCTTTCCTCCTGCCAATGAACACAAAACATCACACGTGCGCAAAGGACAGAGCAAAGAACAGTGCATACAAAAATAATCCACAGTCGTGTCTTTCACTTCCCCATAGTATCTTCCACAAACTAATGTGACAAGCAGAAATCATGCTGTTTTTGCAGCTTCCTTCTCATGGCCTTAGATTAATTCACACCACAAAGAGAACTACAGTTTCATTTGTAAGAACTCAAGTTGTCCGCACACTGCTGGACAGTTCCACATGCCATATATTAGACATTCTAACATTACTGTCATGTTTTTATAAACAGACAGTTGTCAGTCAAAGAGAAGCTAACCCTCATGTAAGCATTGTCATACAGAAGAAAATTTGATTATGATATCCTAAAGGACACAAAGTAAAATTAAGGGTGTGGTGTATTTCTAAACCACTGAGACAGAATAATGAAAAGGATTGAACAAGCGAACAAAACAGAACCAAAAGTGAGAAGTGGCTGAGAAACACCATTTAAAATGACTGCTTTTAAAGTAGTGAAACAGACAAACTGGCTGGGTGTAAGTGGTGGAGACAGAACAGGGAAGAAGGAAGGAGGGAGGGAGGCGGGGGAGGCGAGGAGCAAGACTGTGAAAGATAAAGAAAAGAGGGAGGAAACCAAGGAGGGGGGAAGAGAGAGAGTGTGTGCATGTGAAGAGAGGAGGAAAGGAAGAGGGGGGCAGGAGGGACAAAACATGGTCAAAAGCAAAAGAACTATACAAATGGTAAACACAGACTGCAGGACAGAAAGTGAAAGTGTCCCAGCTGTAGTGTGCACTAGGTAGGTCTCTTAAAGTTGCCAAGTCAAAGACACCTAAAACCACACAATTAGTGAGAACAGGAAACAAGCAGCAGCAACAGGAAGACGAAACACACATGTACATCCTACCGGAGCCCTCACTCACCACAGTGCTCCCGGGGTCATGTGCGAGCAGTTTCACCGATCTCATCCTCCAGCAGAAATGAGTCAAAAAAATCCTCTGCTCTTTATAAGTGCTAGGAGGAGAGTGGGCGGGGCCAGCTCCCCCCCTCCCTCTCTTACTGTTGCTCTTATCTGAACTGACTGGGCTGCACCCCCCCTTCCTCTCCTCCCCTTCCCACCACCATTCTCTCCCTCCACAACAGCATCACTCCTTTTCTGCTCTTCCTCTTCGTCTTCATACTTCTCTTTTTTTTTTTTTTTTTTTTTTTTTTTTCCTTTTTACAGCTTTTTCATTACACAAAGCTTCTTTTTCTGCCACAGCTTATACCATTCTACTTGTCCCTCCCTTATTTATTCACAACAAGAAGATAATGATATTATATGAAACTACTGCAATCAACCACATCTAACAAAACTAACAAGGTTTGCACCAAGCCTTGAACAGAGCACACCAACTACCAGTTAAATGATGAACACTAATTATTGCAATTTTCAACTTTGAATGCATCAGTACTGTTGGCCAATTGAATTAAAATGAAGATTCATAAATAATAGCAGTAAAAAACAGGCCAGATTCAGTTTTTTCATTCATTATAATTATAAATCAGGATTAAACTTAAGCAAGTACACTTCATTCGACCAGATCAGTGCTCACTTGGTCTTAGTCCGGACACCTGTAGGGACATGAGCTCAAAGTTATTGCAGTAAAATGCTGTCTCCCAATTAGACTGTAGATAAGAGAGCCAAAAAGTGGAGAGAAGAAAGACGAGAGAGAGAGAAAATGGATAGAGGAAGAAGAGGGGGAAGGGAGAGAGAGAGATAAAGAGGGAGGAAGGGAGGGGGAGTTGAAGGGGGGATGGAAACGAGGAGAGAATAAAGATAAAGGAAAAAGAGAGAAGAGGAGAGCGAGATGGAGGGAAGGGAGGAGGGGTGGCCGGGCAGAAGAAAAGAAGGAAGAAGAAAAGAATAAAAGAAAAGAAAAAAAGCTGGGCTGTGGTGGTGGTGGAGGAGGGGGGGGCAGGGGAGGTGTGGAGGGAGGGGAAGGGGAGGGGGGTGCACGGAGGAGCAAGAGAGACAGGCTGAAAGAAAGAAAAGGCACTGAAAGAAAAAAAGGAAGGGAGGGGAGGGAGGAGAAGGGAGGTGGTGACAGGCTGCGGGGAAAAAAGGAGGATAGAGAGAAAGAGAAAAAATAATGCGGGGGAAGGCTGGACGGGGGGGTGGTGGGGAGGGTGCATTAACTATTAAACCTCCAGATTTGATTTTATTTTGCTGTTGTTATCGCACAGACAACGTTATCTACCTCTGAGTAACTTTAGTAGCCTTGGAATTAAGTCAAACACTTAATAATTTAACATTTCTTAATATCTTCATAGAATCATAATACAAATGTACGTTCACATACATAAAGATATATAAGCGTGTGAACACAGGTGCAGACTCATACATAGATCTGACTGCATAAACTAAACGCTAAATAACAGCAAAGGGCAAACCTTGAAAACCTTGATCAATCATCAGCAGCTCGGAGAGAACCAGAAAGATAGAGGAAAGGAAAGGGGGGCTCAGAGGAGGGAGGGAGGGAAGGAGAGAGAGGGAGAGATAGCGGTGGAGGGGTGTGTGGAGAGGAGAGAGAGAGGAGGAGGAGGAGGGGGGGGGGGCAGGAAGTCTAGGAGGGAAGAGAATATAGAGCGAGGGAAGAAACAAAGATAAGAAAGACAAAGAGTCCAAGGAACAACAAGGGACTCGTCCACACAGCGCACAGAACAGGCCAAAGGACGTGCACACGCTATGAGCTACTTTTTAAACATATTAGTTGTTTTCAGAATCTCATAGGTGATGGTGTCAGTCACCTATGGGTGCCTGTATGCCAGTGACCATCATTTGTGGATAATCTCGGTATCAGTATCATCAGAGTGTATTAGAATAAGCATTTCTCTATATGAAACAGTTCAGGACTATAGGATGTTATGACGTCACCAGAAAAACTAGTTCAACAGACTTTTTCAAGTTGTTTACTCCATGCGTCACTCCCAATGCATATCCCAAAGCCACGATATGTAACTTTTAAATGACAAGAATACTAAAAATACAGAAAAACATGCATCTTTAGTCTGAATGGGCTTGCATCTCCATAAACCTGACTTCTTGGCCTGTAAGAGGGCCTCCTCTTCCTTGTTTCCATGGAAATGTAGCTCCTTCAGCTACTATATTCCACAGTACGGTATAATACTGATCTATCTCCATGGAGAGTCTTCAGAAGTACGCTCTGAACTGCATATTTCCATAGAATCAAGTGACGTGCCACCTCCTGTAACATACTGTACTGATACAAGTAAAAATACCTATTTTTTGTATAATATTTTTGTAGACTTTAATGTACTTTGTCCTGTGCGTTTGACCCACCCTCCAGCCAAAGCCAGAGCAGCCTGTCAGGAGCACTGGCCGAACAGGAGCACGTGGGGACCCATCTCCAGATCTTGAGCTACCTTCTTGGTCAGATAGAGGCTATGATTTATGTTTCTCGCTCAGATTTTCCAGTTAAATCTTGTTTTTCCCTTAGACTAGACTATATAATTGACCACTGGCCTTACCTGCACTAATCACAGAGTAAAAGGACCACACCCACGCAGGGTCCTCAGGTCAGATAACAGCTGACACCTTTTTAAAGGCTTTCAAATCAGAGGACTCCACAGGGCTTCACAGCTTCAGACAATGCATCTTAATGCTGAGAAGACTTAATTATTTTTGTTAGGTTATTCATACTGTATTTAATCAAAATCAAAACAGCTCAAAACAGGATGCAGTGATAAGAGAAAGGAAAGATTACCCATTCTATAAACGGAAAAACAGAATATTAACACTGTGTTCAGACTGTGAGGAGTGTGGGGAGAGCGAGGGAAAAAAACAAGAAAAGGCTGAAAAGAAAGGAGGAAAGACAAGAGTTGAGGGAGGAGAGGAGAAGAGCATTCAGAGAGGAAGATATAAAAGGAACGGAGAGAGGAGGGAGGTGTGTGTGTGTGAGTGTAGAGGAGAGGGGGGGCAGATCAAGAGAGAGAAAGAGAGAGAGGAGGAGGAGGAGGAGGAGGAGGGAAGGAGGGGTGTGGGGAGAGAGTGAGCGAAACAGACAGAGGACGAACGAGAAGAGACGAAAAGGAGAGAAAAAAAAAAAAAAACAGGAGGGGGAAGGGAGGAAGAGGGGTGGCCACGAGGGACTCAAAAAACCACACGCCCAACAGACTGTCTATATACAAATCCCAGTATACACACCTTAAGTTCATTCACACCAGTTTGGGGCAATGACAACTATCTGCTTATCAAGATTATATAGTATACTTTGTCATTGCATTGCCTGTCTACACAGAATTACTTATTTTACTCATTTGCAACCACAGCACATGTAGAGTGGACTAATAATTGTTTAATTCGAATTTAAGAAGATATACTGGCCCATATTCGTGATCAACGGCAGGCTATTAACACTAGAGGTCTCCACTATGGCCGTGGCGTGGATGATGCTGCCCCTGACACATTTCACTCAAAAAATGACTTTTCTTCCAGCTCCCAAGTTTCATTCTTTTAAATCCGAAGCCTTTGTCTATCTCTTCTTTTGTACCTTGGCGCTGTTGCCATGGTTACCTGTCTCTCTGTACACGGTATCTTTCCCTCCATTCGACGGCGTGGTTCTCTCACTCCGCTCTTATCGTTCTCATTCGCCTTTCATCTGTGCCTCCTTCCTCTGCCTCACTCCCGCTTTTATCTGCCTCTACTTTCATCTGTCTTTCACCTTTCTCTCCCCTTCAAGCCTCCGAGCCTGCCATTCCATCATGCTGCGTTTTGGTTCTTACTTATAGACAGAAAGAAAAGTTTCCTTCCTCCATTTCTGCATGTTTAATCACATCACCAGTGTTGATTTCCACATCCGGATGGTCGTGGATAAGGATGGGGAGAATACTTCCAAAATGTATTTAGTAACAGAATACTGAATACCTAAATTAAAATGTGTTTTTTAAAGTATTACGTTACATGGACCGATAAGAGTACTGTAATCTGAATATTTGGAGTACTCTTACACCGAGCTGCATTATATTTGAGTAAAAGTAAAGTTTTCCTCAGTAATAACTTGCAGTGGTGATGAAGTACTGTCAATACCACTTCATTACCACCAAATGAGAAAGTAATTTGTATTCAGTATACGTATTTTCAGTACATGTATTCAGTTACTTCCCAACACTGGTCGTGGATAAGGATGGAGAATAATCTTATAAGCCATACCACACTCGCGCTGTTTCCCTGTATTGTCAAAATATATTATCATTTTTATATAAGAATGTATATATCCTGAATTCATATTCCAGAATCCAAAAGTTTCTTCTGCAAAAATATTCTGGACAAAGCCTGTATGAAAGACTAAAAGAGCTTTCAGAAAATCCCCTTTACTTTTATTCAAATGGGTACACCAACCATTACTAGTGGTGGGTAATAAATGAACCCAGGAGACAGTACCCTACATCCTAACTTGTTCCTTTTTCCCATCACCTATTTGTCACTTTCATCCAGTCTCAGCTCACCACATTTTCCTTTCAGCCTCATATATGTGCACTATCTCTCTCCATCTTTCCGCTGTTCAAGTTATACATGGCTACGCTCACCTCTGCAGCAAAACCGGCAGCCACCTCAGCCTCTCCCTTCACCACCGTCTGGACCATAGACTCTATATATAAAAGGACACATTTAACCCGCTATCCGCCATGTTCCAAATAGGAAGTGAGCATGGGTGCGCTTCCGGCTCCATCGACTCTGTTTCCAATTGACTTCACGTTGAAAAATTGTCACACCTCTCTCTGTAACAATTGCAGTAAGCCTTATCATTTTGGTCTTAAAATGTTTGTATTAACTCACTCTACATGATGGTGTCTGTTGTTTTTAATTTAGATATTTTGTCTGTAAATAAATTCCTATTCCTAATTTGGAACTCAGCTCCAAATTTACCCCTATAATCGCTAACCTCATGAGCTTCATTTGACTGGAGCTGAACGTTATGGATGACGTCACACTCCCTTAGTCCACTGCTTTATCCAGTCTATGGTTTAGACTCTGGGGGAGGCGTTGTCCCAAACAAAACCGCAATTTTCTCCTTTCACTGAATCACAGTTCATCCATTTATTAAACTTTTTCTCATACCTTTTCCAGTTGTCGTGTCAGATTTGCTTTTCCTGGTCAGGGCGGCTCGTTTCTTGGTGATCTCATGTTGGAAGGTGGACATGATGGAACTGGTGCTGTCAGGCTGTCGATGGCATAGGTCTGTCGCGATAACAAATTCTGAAGCATTATATATCGCTACAGAGAAATATTGCGATAAACGATAACACTGAAAATACCAGTGACACAAAGCAAGATAATGGCAGTAAACTGATTTTTAAATAGAACGTATCATTAAGATGCCTGAGCTGCAACCAATAATTAGTCATAGAAGTTATTCATTCAACCCTCTACAGCTCAAATCTTATCCTATTACATAAAAATGGCAAATGTCTCCCCACTACTGCAAAGAAAAAGTATCATGATAAGTACTGAGACCAAAATACATTGTTCTAGCTTTCATATGATAAGTCAGTTTAAAGATATTGTGACAGGAGGGCATTTGGGGGAAACTGATGTTTTTCTTACAGCGTTTTGGATTGAAGAGGTGGTCAGGGCGAAGTCTACAGACATCAGTAACCAAGGAGAGTACATCGCTGGTGGATCATGTCAAAACCCTGTGACGATCTGGATGCCCTCCCACTATGAAAAACAATAGAAGTTGAAGGTACAGTAGGTACAGATTCAAAACAGTTTCACAGGGAAGTCCTGAGACCACAAACTTTCAGTTACTGACAAAAATACAAGTTACATGTGGTATAAAGGTCACAGTGTACATAAACATGACCGCAGAACTCACCTGGAGTTGTTACTGGTTGTGATACTGAAGACGAGCCAGTAGATGGCGACAGAGTTCCACTTTTTTAACTAACTCAAGCGTGAATGAAACTTAAAAGCTCCAAAGAGTCATGCATTTATGTGACTCTAAGGAGCTTATCTTTGTTTGCAAACTTAGTGGAAAATGTTTACAGTTCTCTTTTAAGATTACTTTTATATTTGAATGCATTCTCCATTCTTTTTTTATCCTTATATAAATACTTTTTAGATTAAGAGATAATAAAAAACTGTCATTTGCTAAATACAAAGAAAATATCTCACATGGAGCGCTAATGCATTATATTTATATTTGTGTTTTGCAATAAAAGGTTTGTTCTTTTTATAGTAATAGCACTCCTTTAAACTAACCAAAAGAAAGCAATGTTGGATGGCAACTATTAATAAAAAAAAATACTAGTCACTAAAACATATTATAACACCAAAGATTTTCTGAATATAAATTTAATCAAGCTTCAGTCGAGTCTCAAGAGACTGGTGGAAAATACTGAACATCTCTCCTCACATGAGACATTTGGCCCCCTAGTGGTGTGTGTGGGGCTACAATCTGTTCATAAAATAACTAAGAGTTTACATTAAATAAAAAAAAAAGCCTATTAAGTATCATATGTTGTCTTCTGGGGTTTAAATCTGTCCACAGTGCGATGTGTTCCTCTGATCAGTGCAGTGTCCAGGTTAGAAATGTGCAGATTTTCATCTGACATATCCACAAGTTCAGTTAAACAGTGGTAGGTGATTACATCTTGCAGCTGTGTGCTCAGTTGCATGCAGTCAGTATCACAGATATGACTAAACTCGCCAGTGCCACCACCAGAGCCCCAAGTAAAAGCTTCCAGGAAAGTCCCTAAAAAGAAATGAAAAACTGCCATAACAAAGCGCTTCAGGGCAAAGCAGTTACACACAGTACATGTACTCACCGATGATTGTGTCTTCTTTGAGAACAAAAACGGAGTCTTTCCTTCTCCCAGGGTGTATGGAGCTTTGACTGGTTTGGGGTCTTGGCCTCCTGATTGTCGCTTCACAAGTTTAGAGAGTTCTGCGTGGATTGCCTTCATTGAAAAAGACAAGAGTTTAAAAATGAGGTACTGATCTAAAAAAGCCACAGAATTTACGGAGATGGATGAGTGGTGATATTCTCAGACAGGTCTAGTTAAAAAAAAGTAGGTTTGTTTTCAACATGTGTCCCCATCTAAATGCCCAGAACTGGTGGACGGTCCGTCACTTGGTTGTCTCGGTGGAGATGTAATTGTTTTGCCTAGAATATTCCACAGCATGGCATTAAATCTTTCTACTGCAATGAAAACAAGGAGGGGATGCCTTTAGGTCAAGTTAGAAAGAATGCTTTTCAGGGTATTTCTAACTGTAATTAAATAAATGTTAGATTCATGGGTTTAAAGCCTTACTGAGAAAAATACCAGGCAAAGCAACAACATCACCACGGAGACCTTGAAATTTTAAATGGTTATTTATTTTCATTATTGGCTTCGTTCTTCTTCATTCTTTTGCTGTTCTTGACTTACTGTTGCAACACTGAACACTGACCTTTCCCATTTGAAAGACGAAATAAAGGTTTTACTATCTTATCTTTGTGACTGGGCTACTGTATGTCCCAAAATCTGAAGACTAACGTTCACATTTACACATACTACAAAAAGGCCAGTGTGGTCTTTTTCCTTGTGATGGAAGATGGAACAATCACAGACGGAGCATTAGGAGAATGTTCACAGTGGCTGTAAATGTGCTTATCTCACCTTGGTAGATGGCTCTAGTTTCAGGGCCCTTTTCAGTAGCTCCATGGCCTCTTTATATTGGCCTTTATCTGAGAGGAGCTAAAAGACAGAACAGTTAGCATACTCTCTCACCGCTGCTTTGCACCTGAGTGTGTAGGACCACCTTTCCACTCCTGAACAGGGCTTTGACATTGTGGGGGTCCAGCTGCAGCGCCTCTCCACAGGTTTTCAGGGCCTCTTCATTCTGCTCCAGTTTGAGCTGTGCCATGGCCAGATTGTTGAGACATTTGAGCCGATAGTCCCTGATCTCGTCCTCCTCCGCCTCAGCTACAGCTGCATCTGTGCACATCAGTAGCAGAGGATTCAACATTAGCGCTGGGCGACAACAACGATAAATATATAGATTTTGATATGATATTTCACAGTTTGGTCACAGTAAATGGAGAGTGGGTCATAATATTAGAACAATACTGCCTCTGTAGCGCTGGTTTATGTTTGTTGTTTTCTTGCTGGTATGTGCTGTCCATTACATTACTTGTATTGTTGTTTCTTTCCATTGTCTGTATCCTTAACTTTACCATTGTTGCTACACTTAAGTTATACTACCGAGCTATAACAGTGACTCTTTGTCTACACTTGTTAATAGTTCATATAGTTTAATTCAAAATGTCTGAAAAACGCAAAAGAAGCTCATTGTGTTAGATTATGAAGAGTAGGGGTGGGATTAAATAAGTTTTCTTCTTCCCACTCCTTTTTGGGCAAAATAATAATAATAATAGTAAAGTTTTTTGTTGATATTTAATTTCTATTATGAGTTCACTTATGTTATATCTTCCATTGTATGTGAATGTAAATCTGTACTTGCCCAAAATAAATGCATAAATAAAATAAAAAAAATATTTTAACAATGCCTGAACAATGTGCTGAAATGTGCCTGCAAATATCTTGTTCGAGGACTGTATAAAGCTGTGGACTAAGGGAGTGTGACGTCATCCATAGCATTCGGCTGCAGTCAAATGAATCTCACAAGCCTAGCGGTTATAGGGGCGAATTTGAAGTCAATTCCATAAGAATGAAATGATTTATGGACAACATAGTGAAAAAACAAAACACCAGGATCAAATAGAGTGTGTTAATACAAACACATTAACACCAAATTCATTACAATGACAGCAGTGGTTACAGAAAAGAGGTGTGACGCTTTCTTAAAAAAGGAGCCAGAGTCAATGGAGCCGAAAGCACAGCCATATTTACTTCCTATTTGGAAAGTGGAGGCTAGCAGGTTAGCTATGTCCATTTATATATACAGCCTACGGTTGTGAATCGAGTATTGCACAAAACTGTAAAATTAATGGACTGTAAAATGAACCTCAAAAGTGCAAAAATATCACTTTATGCCCTAGTTTGGAAGATTACACTAGATGTTTTTGTTCGTTTTATATTTATAGAGGTACAGCAGGAAAACCCCTGTCTGTCCCTATGAGGAATTGTAAAGGAGTTTAGATGCCTGGGCTAGAAAGATCCTCCTCCTCCCAAACTGCGCCGTCCAATTCGTAAATTACATAGACTCTGTCATCAGGTTTCCATGTTTCACTCCTCTGAAAAAGTCATTGCTATGAATCAGTCATTTCATTTATCTGTTAGAGTCAGCTATAGTCAAATCAAATAGTGTGACCTACTGTTGTCACAATACTAAAATTCGATCTTTGTTTCAATACTAAGGAAAAGGGTGAATATTAATTATTTTTTAAATGGTAGAATGTAATTTCAGTGAACAGTAATAAAAGGTAAACGCTCATACTTTTATACAGCGCTTTTCTACCTTCAAGGCATTCAAAGCGCTTTACATCAAGGAACCATTCACCCGTTCACGCACACATTTATACACTAGTGTACGCAGACACTGGGGGCGAGCTGGGTTAAGTGGCTTGCAAGGACACAACGACAGCATTCATCTGCCAACTTGCCGGCCAGTGGATCTGACCGCTCAACCAACGATGTTTATGTCGAGAGCAGGATTCAAACTTCCAATCCTCTGATCAGTAGACAAACACTCTTACCAAATGAGCTGCTGTTGCCCCAGTGGAAGGGAAATTTTCTTCTATTTAGGAGTATTGATTTTCTGTACATCCCTAATGTGGCCTTCCAACGTTCAGGACTGTACATTTAGTAAAATAAAATGTGATGCAATTACATTATAACTAAGAAATAATTAGACCTAATGCAGCAAATTAATACAAGTCTAATGTATACATGAATTTCTGTCTGTCTGTAAGAACTCGCAGTAGCTGTTACCTGTACACTTTGTGGTGAGCACCTCTAGACCCATGCAGTAAGCTCTGGCTGCACGGTTGTACTCCTCTCTCTGGAAGTAGAAGTTTCCGCGCTCCCGTTTGTGGTTGCCGATTCGTATGAGCTCAGCTATCGGCAGCGTCTGGGGGTCTGCTTTCTGTCGGACATCGCAGAGCTGCAGCTGGTACAGGAGAGGGGCCCAGGCCGGGATGTCAGGCTGTCTGTGCAAAGCATCACATCAGGACCATTACACTGGCTCTGTTTCACTGGGAGGCTTTCAGGTTTATTGCTTGGTTTCAGATGACGTTACCACATTCAGTAGTTATGCTGAGTTAAATTTAGAAAATGGTTGGTTGATTACATAAATGAGCAGGCTTACCTTTGAAAATGTCGTATGAAAATATGACACCATCCTATTCTACAATCTGAAAACTATCGGTTCACTTTAAACACACTGACTTACACACAAAGGGCCCATATGATGCCATTTTCTGATCTATGTCATAATGTTTGCACATCACAAACATACCTGGAGTTTTATTTTGTTTCATTCACACATGTTTAATGCATTCATCCTGCATATGAGTTCTTCTCTCAAACTGAAAACATCCTATGGCAATACAGGAAGTGCTCCACTGTGATTTTAAATTCCATACACCTTCACCAGAATCATTTCGATGAATTCAACCCTGGTATTGCCAAACTCTACTAAACTAAAAGTAAAAGGTAGCTATTAATTTGAAAACTTCCACTTCATGAGACAGAGAATTTTGAGCTTTGGAGCTGTAAACAAACTAATGATAAGGAGTGTGAATGAAACAAAACACAACTCCAAGCATATTATAACATGGCTTAAATCTCACGAGTCATTTTTTCATAATATAGGACCTCTAGGTTTTACTACGACTTACTTCTGCATCTCTTCCTGAATAGACAGTATTAACTAAAGAATTGCTGCTTGTACAGCATATTTGTGTTTCATGGGAAAATGACTTTTTTGTTGGCAGCATTTTTCTTGGGAAAGGAAATATGATTCCTCTTTGTTAGGTAATTTAACTGTCAATCTTGTGCAATCTTGAACTGAAGAACCCCCAGACTAACTTCACTGTATGACACAGGAAAAGAGTGTGTCTATCTATCTGTTCTGTCTATCTACTTTCACCTACATACCCTCCCAAAGCTCCCACAGCTCCCATTACATCCTGGATATGTGGTAACACAGAACAGGAACACTTCTAATCAATGGAGCCTATGGCCAAAATAGTTGATTCATTCAAAAGCAAGGTATTCCTGTATACAATCCTATTTTTTTGTCTAAGAAATTAAGTTGAATTACAATGAATAATTTTTTTTTATTTTTTTTATGCTAGTTCAGTGTGTTTACCTTCCAAGAAGTCCATAGGCGTACTGTGAATCTGCCAGCAGTAATGCGATCTCACCCGTTTGCATTGAGAGGACACACTCCTCCAGAGCCTACATGTGTCAAGAAGACAACACTATTACATGTACTCATAGCACCAATAGTGTACACATACAGAATATAAAACCTGCAAGAGCATCAATGTGATATCTTAAAGTGTTGTCCCTGGCAAAACACAAAAAACAAAAAATGCAAAACACAGCGCCTATTACTTCTGATCTAGTGTTGTCACATGTGCATGTTTTATATATATATATTTTTTTATATTCTTTTAAGCATAAAGGCCTACAACATAAACAATGTTAGGGTCAAACATCTGCTCCCGTTGAAGACTCCCACACGTACTATCTGCCAATTTTAGTTGAATGGACTCAATATTTCCTTTCCTATATTATGTTTTTGAAACAGTATTTTTTACTTTCAGAGAGTGTGGAATGCTGGACAAACTGGGGGTCCTGTTTTTTGTTTTTCCACTTGGGGTCTGTGGTTCAATCAGAGGACAAGGACAAGTACAACTACAGCTGTGTCACTGTCATGTGACCTATGCTGCAGTATAATGTATGCTTCTGTAGTATTGGCTGGTATATATTTTCACTTGCAGTATAACATGCCATACCCTACACACAGTGCTTTGTGTGTACTTACGAGGGCACATACAAGATTTTTGTAGCCTAGTTTATTAAAATACATTTTAGTGAGTTAGTTTTGGCCTTTATGAATAAAAGTACATTTTGTTTGCTTAGTACAGAAAAGCAATGTATTTCTTTGCTTCGTAAAGTATTAGTATTAACAAAGCACACAGTTGAAAATGGGTCAAATGCAGAGGACAAATTTCCCTATGAGGACAATAAAGTGTACCTTAACCTTAACCTTTTGGATGTTCTCACCTGGTTCACGTCTCCCTCTCCGATCACAAACACCAGTTTAGTGTCTTTCTCCACCACAGTGCGGTCCTCCAGCACAGCCTGCATCCTGACGGTGACCTCTTCACCCCAGCTGGGACAGGGAGGGCATCCGGGCTCTAGAATCTTCTTCCTCAAGAGCCGGTCTTCTGTTAGGAAACACAGGATATATTTAAACGGAGACATTGTCTTGTATATGTCAATGAACATGTACAAGACAATGTCTCCGCTACGACCTTCACTTCGATGTTCTCACATTACAGATAAAGGTAAATGTGAGGATGAATTCTTTTATTTTATTTTAACAAAAATAATCTACAAAAATTACATTCAAATGTGAAACTCTTAAACTGACTAAGAATAAAATTCTATGAACAGCTCTGCTCTGTCGTAACCAAAGGTTTCAGTTTTCTTCTATAGGCCTCAGAAAGAAAAGACTCCTCACTGTGCCCATAGATGCTGTAGGTTAAAGGTCTGCAGGCTGCATCAATGAGGGCTACTATAGTCCTAATCATTTGACTTTCATCAAAAGACCCTCTGACTATGGGAAATAAACTTGAAATTACTTTCTTAAAAGCAATTCATTCATTTTCCCCCTGGCTCTGTACAGTGCTGTCACAATGATAGATTTTGAGAGAAAATGTATTGCAGTGCTTCTCCAGTTTCAGTGTTAGCAAGTATAAAGAGCCACATAGTAATGCTACAAAACTGATCATTGAATTTTACAGTTTATGTGGGGTTAAAATAATTTCATGAAATAAAGTTTACCTGTTATGTCGTGCCATTCCTCAGACATAAAGAGCTCCTCAAAGCGGCTGGTCGTCCACTCATCCACCACATGCAGTGGAAACAGAGTCTCTGTGGTGCTGTCTCTCTCGGACACAGACTCTTCTTCGGAAGGCTCCTGGAAGCGCACCATCTTGAAACTGTTGGTCTTCCTCATTCTCCGTTGTCCCCTCCATACTTCTGTGGTGCAGCTGTGCTCGGAGCAGTCCTCTCTCTGCTCCGGCTCGCTGCTTTGGCTCAGCTGCTTGTTTTCCTCAGAACATAAAGGCTCTGTGTCTCTGATGGAAAGATCACAAGTTTCTCCTGGCAACTCAACTGACTCAAACGTGAGGTCTGTCTCTGCGTCCATGTTAATCCAGGAAACATATGCACAGCAGATATACAACACTGAACTACTCCAGGCAAATGTAGGCATCCATGTTGCGTATGAGAATGCAGCTTTCAGTTGTTGTGATGAGACCTCCTTGCCCTTTGACCTCTTCACTGTCCCATATTTCACTCCTGAGATTGTAATGATCATCGGAAAGAAAGTGTGCAGCACACCGCAGCACTGGCAGCCAGTGGCCCTGTGCACTGCTAATCTCTGGGATTAGAAGAGAAAAGCCCAATCTGGCAGAATGCCTGTAAGCTTCTTATTGACTTCACTGTTGTCACCACACTGTCTCCATGAAACTGTCACACACTGCCACGCACCGGAACCACCGCTTCACTTTAAAGTCATGTGTGTTTGAGATTTAGCACTTTACTGGGTCGTCTCCTTATTCTTTTCACACGGAAAAACCCTGGATCAGAGAGGAACTGTCTAATTTTAGGTTTGAGAAAGTCAGATACACCTTGTTTAGTTATGAGCAAAAGTTTTTTAAGGTGTTTAAATCTTATTTATTTATTTATTTTTTGACAAGTCAGTAACACCTGGCTCATTATATATTTTCTTAGATATCTTTGTAAACATGGATTTGTTTTTGGAAATCTCAGTGCAAGTAATCTGTACTTTACTCTGGTAACAGCAGGGGTGGGTGTGGGGAATGGGGGTTGTTGCTTTCTTTGTTTTGTGTGTCATTGTTTTGTATTACATTGTGAAAAAATATTTAAACACAAAAAAGGTAACTGTAAACACAAGGTAACTGTATTTTAGCCCAGATCTCTCCAGAACATGACTCGGTCAGTTCTTGACACGTCTGGCACAGTGGGGAGGGAAGCGGTTTAAAGAGGTTCAAACATCTGCGAGAAAAACAACTTGGCAGGAGTTAAATGATTTTTAGGAAAATCACTCACTTCAAGGTCTGCAGCTAAATATTAAGGATGAGCAGCAAGAAATATTTTTTTGATTAATCAACTCAGCAAAGGTTTATTGTAACTACTGTATCTTTACATTTTTAATACATTTTAACCAAATACCAGTGTGCAGATCAGTGAAGTGAGCAGATCAGTGAAGTGTGCAGATCAGTGAGGTGTGCAGATCAGTGAGGTGTGCAGAGTTCACTCCAAATCAAGTCCTGAAAGGATCAAAATGAGCCAAATGAGACATTATAAAATATGCAGTAGCACTTAAAGATCTACACTTTATATCTCAATTATCTAACGCAATTCAGTTTTACAGTTTCACAATGCAGTTTACAATACCGTGCTATTCATTAGGCTATTATTTCAAGTCTAAAAGTGTAAGTACTTAGAGACTATACATGCACCACGGGTTATAACGAACCTGTGGAAGTTGCTCTCGTCCCGCCAAAGAAAAAAGATGATAATACTCTGTCAGCATCTGTGGAATCTATGAATAATACTGAAGTAATTTTCAAAGCTAACAAAAATGTGTTGTCACTGATTTTTGCAACGCAATGCTTTCCGCGCGCATGTAAACAAAGTGCATATCTCCACGCGCCGTGACCCCGCCTCTCGATCCCCCCGACGTGACGTCACGGGGTGAATGGCTGAATGTCGCCAATCGCTTTCATCATTTGGAGAAATGGCAGCGCTGAGGCAGGAGCATCGGTATGGGCTCTCCTGTGCACAGACCCACAAAGGCTGGACGAACCAGAGCCTGTACCACGTCAAACTCACTGACACGGCTCTGCGGACTCTGGAGGGCTACCAGCGCGTCAAGGTAAGGACATGGACACGTTTAGGGACATGCACAGCTTTGTTGGGACTAAAGCTGCGTGATCCGCGTTCACTTCATCTTCCCAGGAGCGCGTTGAAAACAACTATTTAAGTAAAGTTAGAAATGAGGGCTTTACATAAAAATATGATAAAAGTGATTGGAGTGAGACGAGAGATAAACGTCCCAGTGAACTTTCGTTGCCCCCTTATACAAGGAGAAAAAAAAAAAAAAAAAACAGAAGGTGAAGGAGAGACCAAGAGGAGACCCACATTAAAGAGTAGGTCTCCTGTAGGGGTCTCACATGAGAGAAAGCTTCACCCAGTCGTGTTTTCCAGAGGTTACAATAGAATCACCTGCTTCATCCTCATCTTCCTCATCTCTCACATCAGCCATGGCTTATATCTGCTAACACAAATACATCTCAGTAAACAAATGAATGCAGTTTATTAAATGAAGTATGACTCAGAGAACATATTGAGCATGTTTTTGTTTTATTTTCAACTCCCAGAATGAGCAGCCTTGTCTCTTTGCAGGTGTCCCTCTCCCAGCGGCCGACCATCTGCTTCAAGGGAAACCAGGGGGTAAAAAGTTTTTAAGATACTTCAGAAAGTAATTCGATATTTTGTCTGTGATCAAATGGCAACCTTCAAAGTATGAATTATACAGATGTGTGGGGCATATGTCTAATTTAGAGCTGAATAAACACACACACACACACAACAGTTCATTAAAGGACCATTTTATTTATTTATTTATTTATTTTTAAGTTAATAGCTTGATATGAGGCTGATCAATAGACAAAGAAGTTCATTGTAGGAATAGTCCAGACTTAAATTGCAAAAAGAAGTCATTTCTGAGTGAGTGACCTCTTGCTTAAATTTACATTACATTACATAAGTGTGGCTTCCGCAGTGTTTTTGTAAAGTTAGTGATGCACATAAAACACTTCCTGTAACTTGCTTTGCTTGTCAAGATGTTTGTGCTGCTAGATTAAGATAGCCATTAGCCCGTGGCAGTGGCTGCAGTGGGTGAAACGCTTCAGTTTGAAAACAGAGCAGAATAATGTCTGAGCCTTAACTATTTCCTTTACCCTATGAATGTTACTGTATTATACAATAGTATTAATGTAAGTCAGAATATCAGTATCAAGATGCAACACATGATCTCCTCTTCATCATGTCCCCTTTCTTTTTATTTTTACGTAGTTTTCAAATATTTCACATTGACAAAACAGTGATAAAATATTGTAGTTATGCTGGCCAGTATAGAAATATAGTCTAGTCTGTATTTGTCAACAAAATTAACCCTGGTATGGATTTACTCTAAGCTCTCAAACTGTAGCCTTTCAATTAAGCCTAGTGGTATTTTGTAATTGTTGTCATCCAGACACGACCACTCCATCATCAGTCATAGGCCTTTAACAGAGGAAATAGATCCATCAAAGTGACATCGTATGCAAATGATTATAGCAAACAAGCTTGAATCACGCAGCATTAATAAGTGGATTTTAGATTGCTCAATTTGAATTTCTGTCGTTGTTTACATCAGCGCTATATTTTCTTGTATTGGTTTAGATCTGTGAGCTACAAAGCCTTACAAATCCTTGAATGAAAAGGGTACTCCAGCCCTGTCTGTCCTAGGAGGGGGTTGGGGGTGTCTTCTTGCATTGCTTGGCATAACAGGCAGTCGCCCATCCCCTGTTGCCCCCTCCACATCCCCCTCGGCTTCCATGCCTTTTACCAACCCCCCTCTGTGAATGGAGCAAAAACAATCTACATAGACCCACAGATCCTGGGAGGCTCCACTATTTGAAAACATGTTATTATTGTGTTAAGGTAATGATATAGGAGTAATGTAATAAATTGGTACTCAAATTCATATTTCTTTAACAAATTTCACAGTATCTTTGTGAATATTTGAATAATTTATTTAACCATAAAATGCATTGTTATGGCAGTGGTGTAATATGCATAATGAGTTTAGAGTAACCAACACATTTTTGATTAAAATTGCTTTTAACGGGAAGGAATCCTGGTGTAATATTTAAAAATAGAATGCATTTATATATGTTTATGTTTATATATGTTTTAGTTTCAACCAATTTCTCTTTTTGTTGTTTAGTTTGTACTAGTGCTGGGCATAAAAATTTGTTACATTGATTAATCAAATCTGAAGTTCAAATCGATTCGTTTAGAAGAGAATCACTTTTCATTTTCCGCACTTCCCGGTTGCATTACATTTTCAATTACTTTGAAAATGCAGGAAAATCAGCTCCCTGCAGTCACAGAGACCAAAGTTTAGAACAAGGCCGCGCAACACTAACTACTTTGAAATCAGTGACGTCAAATGAAATGTTTAATGCAGTAGTTTGTTTTATCTCGTTCATAAAAAAATTCCCCAATGGCCAGTGGGTTAAATATGATCATTGAACACAATCTTTTCAGCTTTGACCATTTCCTGTAGTCTGAAGAATATTTTTAGTGAAGAGGGAGAAAAATGTTAAAAAGTTTTTGCATCTCTCACCTTAAAAAACAATGTCAAGGCTTTTTTATTTTGCAATACAAGCCAAACTTGCTAAACAAACTTGTAAAATGTGTATTAAATGCTTTGAAAGGTGACAGTGTAGTTTGCTATAGCTGTCTCTGTCTTTTTATCTAATGTAATTCTGGTAAATTTTAGTGTGACATACTTTTAACATAACATAACACAACATAGACATGAAGGAAGCCGCCCTGAAACAGTCTGACCCCAGTGACACTAATTAGAATTTAAATGTTAAGTGTCGGGTGCAGAGTGGAGTTGACAGCCAGATCGGATTCACTACTTGTGCTTTCGCAATCATACGAGCTACTGTGATACTGTGATAGTTATGGCTCACCAGGAGGAAAGCTGCACAATTAAGTAAGGTTTAATCAAACTGAGATCCAATCTCTCAAATTGTCAATGATCAGCTTGGGGCTTTTTAATCACGAGACGGTCAGGAAAAGCATGTTTGGAGCAGAGCTCACATGTTTGGGGGCATGAATTTACAATTTTCTGGGTTAAATGTCACTGAGCAAAAGTGAGTCTTCATGATTTTTTTGGATTTAGAGACATATTTATTTGTTTTTAATCTGAAAAACAAAAATCCAGTTGAAAATTGTTGGTCGCTTGATGAGCACGAGGAATAAAAATGTTGATTATGTTTTGCCACATCGCCCAGCCTATTATTATTGGCCTATTACATTTAAATCAGACTTGCATGATTCTTCTTATTATCTATTTAGAATTGCAATTATTTGTAAAACTGATTTTTCCGGACGTCCCGCAAAGCTCATTATTTCTCCAATGATTATAAATGATTTTTGTCGTTATCCTTTTCTGACATCTGTCAAGCACAAGGCCTTACCGCAAAACTGCTGATTCTTTTTAATTAGTGTAAGCCTCAGTCTACAGTCTATGTCTCACCCAGTTCATGTGAATCTTGACAGCTTTACCGTTCTGACCTAATTTTGATTTTTTTTTTTTTTTTTGAAGTGGCCATGGCCTTGTGGGGTGGCTTCATGTTTTGTTTTGACTGTGCATATATGGGGAGCGAGGAGACAATGGGGGCAGGGTGAGTGGCATGCGTTGGGTTTTGAAAGAGGAGGAGGGGTGTCAGCATTGCAAAAAAAAAAAAAAAAGTGCTTGTGGTTTTGCTGCATGACTGGGCATTTGTGACAGAGCAGCTATAGTGCTCCAGCCACATCTGCCAGGGCACGGCTCTCCCAGCCCACCACCTCATAATCAATCACGTTATAGCGACAAGTGAAGCGGCAGACTCAAGTCCCTCCAACCCACTTTACGTCTCCATTATCCCCTGATGGCACGCTGGAAACCTTATTACAGACATTGTACTGATAAATTAAACTGTATAATAGAAACAAATTCAAGAGTACTATAAAGGCATTAAAGGGCCAATGCTACATCTTTATCTCATCTATGTTGTTTATAATGTTGTTTCCTCATCAAAAACAGACCCAGTGTTGTTCCTCCAAACAGAAAACACTCTGCTCCACTTTGAGATGTCATGTGGTAATACAGGAAGCGTTCCACTGTGTTTTTAATAATAATTAATCATTGCATTTATATAGTGTCTTTCAAGATACCCAAAGCGCTTTACAGTTAATTATTCATTCACTCAACAACAATACAAATACTACTACTACTACTACTACTACTACTCCTCTTCATCATCATCATCACAATAATCATAATCATAATAATATATTTTTTGTATTTTTTAAATGTTTTTTATTGACTTGCTTGTTTATTTGAACATTTTATGATTATATATTATTATATTTTAATGCTTTATTTTAGGGTGCACTTATTAACATCTTACTACCCACTAATTACCATAGTTGTAAATTGGTTAATTTGTAATTAATTAGTATTTATTCAGCCTTTATTAATGTCTAATTCCCCATAAGCTTATTCTGCTATTAGTTAGACATTTACAAACACTTTACTATTAATACGCTCCTTATTACTGCTTATTAATATGACACTAGGCCATTTTTGTCCATGAATTATGTTTCTAATAAGCTTTTGGTGCAAACAAGTAAGAACTACATTTCTTGTGCTACTAGTCCTTAACAACACCCTTATTACCAAAAGCTTATTAGAGCTTATTAAGCAGTAATAAGGAGTGTATTAATAGGAAAGTGTTTGTAAATATCTAACTAATAGTAGAATAAGGTTATAGGGAATTAGACATTAATAAGGGCTGAATAAATACTAATTAATGACAAATAAACCATTTACAACTATGCTAATTAGCAGTTAGTTAGTTGTTAATAAGTCCACACTAAAATAAAGTGTTACCCTTTATTTTATTTAATGTGTTAATTTATATTGGGTAAATGGTAGCTGTTAACTTGAAAATTACTGCTTCATGACATTACAAGGTGCAACAGAGCATTTTGAGGTTGGAGATGTAGACCGACTAATAAAGCAGGATATGATATAAACAAATAATCGAAAAGACTTAACATCCTTCCAGGTGCAGCTGAGGCTAGATTGAAACTCATGTTGAAAAAATTGATTTACATGTGATCATTGCATTTGCGTCAAAGCTATTTTTGAATTTCACAGCTGGTTCCTTCACTGCCTCACGTCTTCTTGTTTTTGTATTGGCAGTACTTAAAGATCCCAGCTCCTACTCCTGAGTATCCAGATGGATTTAGAGTCTTCTCCTTTTACTTATCCAATGAAAGCAAAGACAAACCTCAGTCCAGCTTTGTCTGCGTCCAACAGTATGTTTCTGGGTAAGACATTTATTTATTCTTTTTTTTCGGGGTCAAAATCACAGCACAGTTGATACTTTGCAGCAAAATTATGCTGGGGGTGTATTTCTGAGCATTTTTATTGTTCAAGAGTTACCAAGGTGACACAATGCACATATTAGCACTGCCAAAAAGTTTTAGATTGTCTGAAAACTCAAGAAAAAATACTTAGATGCATTAAAACAGCACATTTTCAGGAGCCTGTAATCAATACAAAATGATAGCGAGCTTGTGACTGTAATTTTATGTGTGAAAGACTTACTTAACAGCTCACCTGTTGTAGTTCCAGCTAAATCATCTTTTTTCTGGTCAGATTGTGTTAAAATAAAGCTCAGATTAGAGTCTCACTTGAATAGCAGAGCTTCAAACAGAGCATGCCTGCAGTTAGCTTCACTTCCAGAGGGAATGTTGATGATATTAGCTGCAACGGATCAATAATAATCATAGAGTGAGGCGACTGGAGGGCAGCTTATTCCATTTATTTAACTCCACATTTCCCCGTCTCTTCTGTCTTCTCCAGGGAGGGCAAGGATCTCCTGGAGGGCAGGGGCAGTATCCAGGACAAGATCACGGTTTGTGCCACGGATGACTCGTATCAGACGACCCGCGAGCGCATGTCCCAGGTGGAGAAGGACACCTGGAGCCGCTCCGCTATCGAAATCAAACCTGCCCCCGGTCAGTTCACACCAACACTTCTTATCATTTCATCTTCCAAGATATCATTTTATTTTAGTACAAATATTTCAAAACATCTTGAAGGCCCTATAATATGCAACATTTAAGCCATGTTACAATGTTGTTACTGCTTCAAAACATGCCTGGAGTTGTGCTATGTTTTATTCACAAATGTTTGAGTAATGCTGCATTATTAGACTGTCTGCATCTCTAAAGCTCAAAATGCTCCACCTTATGACGTCATGAAGTGGTAGTTTTCATGTTAACAGCTCCTTTTACCTTTAGTTCAGTAAAAATTGGCAATTCCAGGCCTGAAATCATCTGAATGATTCTAGTGAAGTTGTATACAGTGGAGCTCTTCCTGTATTACCATGTGACATCACAAGGTGGAACTGAGTCTTCATTTGAAAGAGGAACACAGTCTAAATTTGCAGGATTTGTTTGCTAAACATTTGTGAACAAAACAAAACACAACTCTAGTGATGAGAAAACATTATAACAAATCAGAAAATAGTGTAATATGGGCCCTTTAAGTATTTGGTCAAGACTAATCAGTAGGGATGTAACAATATCCAAATCTCTAGGTACGATATTTATTGCGATATTTGTGGAGGCCAATAAAACTGTTAATATACTACTTTTTTCCTCCTAAAATGCCTTGACAAAACTTAATCCAAAGAACTAAGACTTAGTAAGGGCTTAGAACTGTTATTTCTTCTTGTAGTCTGCACTGAAATGGAACAAAGGATCATGGTCTATGTAGCTCCCTCTTTTTTTTTTTAGCTATTGCTGCACCATAACTCTTAATTTAAGCAAAGAGACTCACGATATCACGATATTTCGGTTATTGTTACATCCCTACTAATCAGCGGTAACTCATGACCATGTAATTTTGTACACCAATGTATATTTTGTCTGTTAAAAAATACGAAAGAAAAACATACATATCATTAATGTTGTATTTTTGTAGCATGATTTGTGTTTGATCAAGTGAGCAAAAACTAGATGTTGGACTTTAAAACTTTTGCTACATTGTCATCTAAAAATAAAGAAGGTTGTTGCATTACATAAGTATATATTTTTGCTTCTATTCCCCAAAAGATTTGTCATCAGAAATCTTAACTATATCCCCCTTGAAATTGTTCAGAAAGTTCAGTATGAAGTGTTAAGAAAAAGTAGGTTCAGATCACTTATTTATGTGTCAGTTAGCCTGTAATGTCTGTTTTACTCTTAGGTAAGTTTGTGAAGGTCCAGAGGAAGCAGCCTTTGGTTCCAGGCTCAGAAAGCTTCAACAAACTTTCTCCAAATTACAAGAGGAACCTGGCCCCCAGCCCTGCAGCACAGCGCCCTCTGCTGGAGCGTGTCATTCATCTGCTGGCCCTGAAGCCCTACCGGAAACCTGAGCTACTGCGGAGCCTGGAGCGAGAAGGAGTCAGTCCCAAAGAGAAGGCTGATCTGAGCGCAGTGCTGGAAGAGGTGAGTGAAGCAATGCCAGAAATATGATTTACAAATATTCAGTATTTCAAAAGCATCAGATTTTGACAAAAGGAAAAGTAAGAACCAATGCAATTTTCTGGTCTGTGTTATAATGCTGTCTTGATTTATTCACACATGCTTAACACACAAACCATGCATATTTAAGGTGAGTTAAAACACTCTGTTCCACCTTGTGATGTCATGTGGTAATGCAGGAACTGCTCCACTGTGTTTTTAAACCCTATATACCTAGAATCTTAAAATTGGGCAACAACAGTATGTGCACTTGACTGTAATGGCTTATATAGACTGGCCTTGCTGTAAGTTTTACTTTATTTTATTGTGAATGTTTTAAAAAGTACATGAAATGCAATGTTATGAGAGTTATGTATATTTCATTATGTAAAAAAACAAACAAACAAACAAAAAAAAACACTAGAATCATTTGGATAACTGAAGCCCTGTTTTTACCAGTTTCAACTAAACTAAAAGTAAAAGGTAACTTCACGACATAAGGTGAAACAGAGCATTTTGAGGTTTGGAGATGTAGACAGACTAATAATGCAGGATTACTCAAACATGTGTGAGTAAAACACAACACAACTTTGAGTATGTTTTTAACAACATTCTAACTTGCGTATCTTAAAGCTCAAAAGCCAGTTTTGCATAATCTTAAAAGTTCCCATTTAAAAATTAAAAGCTAAATTAAAAGCATTTACAACCATTCTGAGAAGCAAAGAAGGAGTTAAATGTAAGTAGCCTAGACTGAGAAGTTGGCTCATGTAAATAAATCAAGTCTAAACACAGGAGAGGGGAAAAGTAGTAAGCACAGACTCCTTTTGTCTTCTTTTACACAGCAGTACTTGGGTTCTTTTTAAAGACAATACAGTAGGAGATCTTGGCTGATAGCTGCAAGCTGTCTTCAGAACTGTCCAACTATCCTGCTCTAAAATGTAGTAGTAGAGGTTTCTTAGTAAACCTAAAGAAAAATGAAGAAAACAAAAAAAAAAAAAAAACATTGCATGCAAGTGTGGTAAATTATTTGAGAGATGCTTCGTGTATTTCAAACTTTCTAACATTGTCCAAAAGTTTATGGTGCAATCTTTTAAGACTTAACCCAGCTGAGTTGAGAAAGTAAAAAGGATTGATACAGTGCATGGAAAATAAAAGATTTGTCATATTTTAGGTCTGCACGCTGAATCCAAAAGACCACAGCTACTCTCTGAAGGAGGAGCTGTACAGACAAGTCCAGAAAAACTGGCCGGGGTACACGGAGGAAGAGAGACAGCTGATCCACAGGCTGCTCATCAGGTGGGAACCAGTATAATGTAACAATAAAACACTGTAGCCTCTCTCAGGATTTGTTAAAAAAAATGCTGATATTCTGTGTCTAACAACTTGCAAACAATGTGCAATACATATAAGACGAATACAAAGCCAATCTTTACCCTACAAAAAAAGGCAATAAGAGCAATCACATTATCAACTTATAACGAACCAACCAATGCATTATTTATAAACCTTCAAACGCTGAAATTTTACGATTTAGTCGACCTTTACACTCTTAAAATCATGTTCAAAGTAAACAACAATCTCCTGTCGAAATCGTTACAGAACATGTTCAAAATCCGAAAGAGCCGATATGAGCTCAGAGGCACGACCATGTTTATTAAAAAGAAAATCAGAACAAACATTATGAAATTTTGTATATCTGTTAAAGGGGTGGAGCTCTGGAACAACTGTACAGAAAACCTAAAATTGTGCACCACTTTCTTTCACTTCATAAAGAAGTTTAAATGTTTAACTCTGGACAGATACATGAAATATGAGACTTAGTTTGTGCTGTAATACTTTGTTGTTCTGTTACTGATTAGCTTGTTTCTTCCTGCTGTATTTATGAAGATGAACTGGTGTCAAGATGAAGCTCTGACAAAGGAATAAAGGGTAGGCATAATAAGCTTAAGCTTCAGCCTGCACCTTTTCGGTCTGTATATGTTAAATATGACTGTTTATGAATTAATGTCAAAATATACCTGTGACCGAAATAAATAAATAAATGAAATGAGTTATGGTGCAGCAATAGCTAAAAAAAAGACAGAGGGAACTACATAGACCGTGATCCTTTGCTCCATTTCAGTGCAGACTAAGAAATAAGCGGTTCTAAGCACTTTTAAGTCTTAGTTCTTTGGGTTAAGTCTTGCTAAGGCATTTTAGGAGAAAAAACAGTCAACAGTTTTGTTAGCCTCCACAAAATATCGCAATAAATATCGTACCGTGAGATGTATATCGTGAAAATATCGTACAGAAAGACTTGGATATTGTTACATCCCTAATCGTGAGCCTCCCCACCGTATCCTGAGCTTTTCCACGATATCGCAATAAATATCGTACCGTGAGGTTCATACTGTGACGATATTGTATTGTGAGACTTAGATATCGTTACACCCCTATTTGCAGCTGATGTCACCATATTCTCTGGGGGTGTGGAGCTAACTGAACGCACTACTTTGTCTGAAACTCTCTTATTCAAGTTAGAATTAAAGGTGCATTGTGTAACTTTTCTGGTGGAGGGTCCATCAAATGCTTTTCTTCGTGGAGATGTTACTGCTTCATCTGGAATGGAATCTGGAATTCACAGTATGACATTAAAAGTTTCTATCTTCATGGCGACCGAACTAGACCAAGTTACAGTTCAGATCTGAGGAGAGGCCATGCTTTTTCGAGCAATAAAACCACTGTAATTGAATAAGTGTAAGGTAGAGCTGTTTAATGTCATACGGTGGAACATTCCAAGCAGAGCAGTGACATATGCATAGAAACAAGCAGGTGATGGACCCCCAAACAAAAAGTTGCACAGTGCACCTTTATTTTAACACAATCTGACCAGAAAGAGGCTGCTTGGAACTAGAACAGGTGAGGTGATTTGTGCGCTTAAATAAGTCTCTCACGTGGAAAATTACAGTCACAATTTATCTAGCAGTTTTTCAGTTAGTCACTCTCACCTCTTTGTTGAAAATCAAACACCCAGACAAGACCATGAACACTTGTATTGATCACAGACTCCTGAGAATGTGCTGTTTCATTGCTTTTTTTCTTCTTCATTTTTCTTTAGACTATATTCACACATTTGGCAGTGTCTGTGTCATCATGGAAACTGTTGAACATTCTGCCAATAGAAATACCTGTAGAACACCCCCACCGTAATGCCACCGCAAAGTATTATAGATGTAACAATAACTGAAATATCGTGATATCGTATCGTCAAAAGTCTCACAATAATATCGTGGGCTGTCACAATATATCGAATTAAAAGTTTCTTTGCTTAAATGTATTGTTTGATAGTAGCAACAGGTTATAAACATAGAGAACTACATATCCCATGATTCATTTCAGTGCAGACACTATGAAGAAATTAGGATTATGACAGTAATGATTCTCACCAAATCTTGAAGAAATATCTCACTGTGAGATGCATATTGTGAAAATATTGTCCAGAGAGATTTGGATATTGTTACACCCCTACAAAGTATTAATAGTTTTATTTAATCTAGATCATTGTTTCCCAAAGACTGGGTCACGATCCTCAGGTGGGTCGCAAGAGATTTTTTATTTTTTTTGGGTCACCTGATATGTGCCTGATATGTGTGTTGTGCTTTCTTCCTGTGCCCCGGAAAACATGTTAAGACATGTTTTGTATTATTTCTAATTTTTTTGTAATTATTTTATTGACCATTTTGTTCCAATATTGCTGGTTCAATTGAATATTGAAAAGAAAAAGAAACAGGGTTCATTTAATGTCCAAATAGGCGACTTATGGACACTTTTATTACTAGTTCAATTACTGTTTTTCACTGTTTAAAACTTGAGTAATATTAATTGTTCAGAGAGACATGATGACTCAGTCAACAATAAAATATCCTCATTAATGTTCAATAATGGTCAAATCCACTTTTAGTTTGTGATTTACGAATAACGTCTATTGACTTGGGTCGTGAAGGTTTGTGACTTTTAAAATATGAGTCCCCAGAAAAAAAGTTTGGGAAACACTGATGTAGATGAACTAATTGTCATTCATTGCTTTACAGGAAACTTCCGCCTCTTCACATCGGGCAGCTCAGGAGTCCCCAGTCGAACCACTCTTCCTTCAGAGCTCCTGGAGACTCACCCTCTCAGCTCAGTCCAGTTAAAACTGTGGTATGATTTACATTTTTTTCTTCGATTTGATAGATTTAGAATTGTTGATGCAGTTAGTCGAATTGTGTATTTTTAGGACCAAACTATATTATACCTTTGTTTTTTCTACTCCATAAATTGTTTTAAGCATTTTATCCCATTGTATTAAAAATCCATATTTATTTATTCAAAGCTTCATGTATGAAAATCAAGTTATTTAAAGATCTGGACTCTTGTGAACTTTAAACCATGTTATAATATTGTTACCTCAAAAACATACCCGGAGTGGTGTTTTGTTTCATTCACATGTTTTAGTAATCCTGGATTATTAGTCTGTCACATCTCCAAAGATCAAAATGTTATGTAGCAGTAGTTTTCAAGTTAACAGCTACCTTATATCTTTTGATCAGCAGAGATTGGATCGCTAAAATTATCCAAATGATTCTAGTGTAGGTGTATGGGGTTTAAAAACACAGTGGAGCACTTCCTGTATTACCACATGACATCACAAGGTGTGAACAGAGCAGAGTTTGTGTGTTATACATGTGTGAATAAAACAAAACATGACTCCAGGTATATTTTTGAAGAAACCACATTATAACATAGATCAGAAAATGGCGTAAGATGGGTCATTTAATCAATTTCCGCTGGGTAATATAACTGGATATCTTTTTACACCATTTTGTTTATAGTGTATCATTTTATTCACTGTAAAAATACGTAGCAGCACATGAATGCCACATCCTAAACAAACTTTTTTTTCTGTTTGTCATTTAGAAACGTCCATTGAACCCTGCCTTTCTGAACTGCAAAACTCCAAAGAAACAGAGAGTGGATCAGAGCCAGGACACCACCACACCCCCTCGTAACACGGAGAACTCACACATCAGAGTGGAGTTTACATCCATGCCCCTGTACTCCCCTCACAAACACGAAGGCTCCACCACTGTGAGCGCTTCACCACAGACTGAGAGGACAGCACCTGCCTCGCCTTCGCCCAGAGCCGCCCTCACACACAGCCCCTGCAGTCCCCCCGAGTTTACAAACAACCAGCACAAAAAGAAACACAAAAAACACAAAGGGAAGGAGAGGCCTCGACTGAAACCAGACTGGATCGAGAGCAGCCCACATCAGAAGACACAGGAAAACTCTAAAGGTAGAAGATATCTTTAGTTTGAGGTTGTATTCAGGAATATATAGACTATATTCCTTGCATGCTTTGATTGTTGTATATTTTGGTTCCCACCAAAAATGACAGAACAGTGACTGAATAATGAGCTCTGGGTATGAAAAGTGTTATGCAATATGTTCAAAAGTTACCTGACCAGCCCGAACCACACACTTTGACAAAACTTTACAAAGACGAGCGGATCTGGAGCTGTATTCTGTCTCCCTGATTTCACAGGGAAACAAACATGGCAATTTACATGACAAAGGAGAAAACACAACATAAAGGACTGAGAAACTGTAGATTTTTACAGAATCAACAATCGAAGCTCCAAAATTATTACTTATCTCAGACAAAAGAAGTTACCGTAATTTCCGAACTATTGAGCGCACCTGAACGTGAGCCTCATGAAGTAAATTTTTTAAGAAAAAAAAAATCATATATAGGCCGCACCTGTCTATAAGCCGCAGGTGTCCACAGTGTACCTTGAGATATTCGCACAGAAAGATGGTACACAGAAAGAGTTTACATATTTTTAAATTAAATACCGGTACATGCTTTTTCCGAACAAAGCCTGTAACGCGGCAGTAAAACAACAGTATTACGACAAGATTATTAGACTACGTCACTTCAAGCTTTACTGCTCATTTCAAGAGCCGCTGTCCTGTCTGTATCATGTCTGTGCCTTGTTGGATTTCAGCAGATTTCAGGCTCTCCCGGGGGGCGGGGCTAGTTGTATCGATCAGGTATGAGTGAATGTCCAGCTACTGAAGTTTGAGACATTTCTTCTCATCATTTACGCACTCACCTGCATTTAACACGTATGGGCCAATAAGACGTATCCCCCTCACATGTTCATTTAGCATCATAACTTATTTTATCACACATAAACTCTTTTAGTGCACTAACAACAGCACTCGCTAACATTGCAACTTAAACAAATAAACAAATAAGCTGCAGGGTTCAAAGTGTGAGGAAAAAAGTAGAGGATTATAGTCCAGAAATTACGGTATATATTTTGTCCTGAATGTTAGGAGAATTTTGCCTTTCGCATTTGAGAGACACGTGCTACAGTTTAACGGCTGCGGTTAGATCGTCTCAAGTTTGGATGACATTTTTTCATGCTCTATGATCCAATTCCAGACCCTTCTGGATTCTTATAAGAATGTAGAAAGGACTGGCTGGTCAGGCAAGTTCAAAGGTGCACTCTGTAACTTTTCTTTTTGTGTTAGTGGAGATTGTTTTGCCAAGAATTTTCCACAGTGTGGTATTTTTGCATCTCATATTTAATCAAGCATAGGTCTTTTTATTGCTCGCATATACCATTGAAATTTTACTGTGAGTGGGCTTGCCTCTCCACAGATCTGGGATGTGTTTGGGCTGAGGATTTACTGTAACATTTGCTGTTCACAGAAGGAGAGCAGGAGAGCACACAAGACTGTCGACTCACTGAGGAGCTGCCTGACTATTTAATGTAAGTCATAAAATGCACTGGTCTTATTGCACTTCCAAAACACAAAATACATGTTGCCCTTATGTGTCTTTCTGTTGTCTGTAAGCGCCCACGACTACATAGTTGTACTGATCTGTGGCGCCATCTTCAGGACATTGAGTGTAAAGACAGACAATGGATTTTGTTTGTCCTTTCAGAAAATACAAACCTGTGACTTCGATAGAGCAGAGACAGCAGTACCAGGAGGAGTTCAGTGCAGAGTACAGCGAGTACAGGGCTCTTCACGACCACATCAGGACAGTCACCGACATGTTCATGCAGCTGGCCTCCGAGATCAACTCCCTCTCCCCAGGAACTCGGGAATACAAGGTACTACACAGCTGGCAGCTCTAAAGCAGGACTGTAAAATAATAAATAATGATGTTATATTTTGCATTTTTAATTGTTGTTTCCTGTATTAAAGGTCCTATATTACACAAAATTGATTCTTCTGAGCTTTAAATCATGTCAGTGTTGCTACTCCATCAAAAACAGATCTGGAATTGTGCTTTGTTTCATTCACACGTTTGAATAATCCTTTATTATTAGTCTGTCTACATCTCCAAAGCTCAAAATGTTCTGTTCCACCTTGCGATGTCAAAAAGCAATAGTTTGCAAGCTAACAACTACCTTTTACCATTCTGTAGAAATGTATAATTTCATGGCTGAGATCATCCAAATGATTCTAGTTAAGGTGTATGAAATTTAAAAACACAGTGGAGCACTTCTTGTATTACCACATGACATCACACGGTGGAACAGTGTTTTCAGTTTGAGAGAAGAACATCTACTAAATATGCAGGGTTTGTGTGTTAAACATCTGTGAATAAAACACAACCCCAGGATTGTTTTGATGAAGAAACAACATTATAACAGAGATCGGAAAATAGTGTAATATGGGCCCTTATGTTCTATAATGTTTGAATTATAAGTAATCAATCTTTCTTTTCTCTACAGCTTATGGAAGACAGGATCCTGCAAAAGTACAAGAGGTATAAGAAGGTAAGTGTATTCAGTGTCCTACATCTACAGATAAAAAGACATTTATTCCATAAATATGTAACAACTAATTACACCGGAGCAAATACAGACTATATATACATACAATTTATCCATACCATGATAAGTCTCTGATCAATTAATTGTTGAATCAAGAATGCCATTTCACAAGTAAAGAAGCAGGAGGCAATACTGGAATAAAGATATTAAAGATATAGTTTGGGAAAGAAAAAAAAAAAGATTTTAAACAAATTTTTGTGCTTAGTTCTGTATGAATCATTCGAGTGACTTTTTAACTTTATAATAATACATCAGTAAGATGCTTCACAATAGTGTAACAAAACACAAGGACAGGACAGACAAAGCAAGTGGTACAGAAGCAGTCATTTGTGGGGGTTATTAGCTATGAGGAAAATGTGAGTTTGAGCTGTTTTTTTTGTGAGTGTTTAGTGAGTCTAACTTTCTGATGTGAAGAAGGAGAGAGTTCCAGAGGGAGGGGGCAGCTATGACAAAGGTTCGGTGAACTTTACTCAAAATGTAATTTTTTTTGCTTTCAGAGATTCCCTGGTTATCGGGATGAGAAGAGGCGCTGCCAGTACCTCCACCACAAACTGTCCCATATCAAAGGCCTGATCACAGACTATGACCGAGCCCACAGTCTAACATAGTCCTCTCTTTATATCAGAAACGTCCCCCTCTGATTTCTGAGCTGTTTCTACTGCCCCACAAGTTGATTGCACAATCATTTAGCTTTGATAAATCCAGTGATATAATGCTCATACATATCAAAACAAAATATCTACACAAATTATCAACTGTGAGTGCCTTTTCAAAAGCAAAGTTACCAGAAACTTCACAAATGTCTTTGTATTCTGAAGGAATTTGAAAAATATTTTTGAATGTTTTTTAATTCCAACTTTTCTACTGGTGTACTAAGGCCAAAACAATAAATCAGCCTTGAACAAAATATGTTCAAATACTTAATCCATGTTTTTGATTTGTCATAATTTTGAGATATGTTTAATTAACTTTCATATAAATGGTGAGATCACTGAGAGCTGTTTTTACCTATAGCATTAATCAATTTTAATACTAGTAAATATAAATGACGTAGCAATTAAACTGGATAAATTAAGTAGGCCTATTTAAGTTAGGGGTTGTATTGTTGTGGCTACCATCAGAGAAGTCCATTTTTGAGACTTATTTCACTTTTTGTTTATTAAAAATGTACATAAAAAGTAAAATTATTAGAAAAGTGGCAATGATACAGTATCCAGCTTAGTGCCATGAAGCAGTTACATTGATCCATCAAGAACATGTTGCAAATCAAGTTAGTCAATTCAGACTTCCCTTTAACCTGTGCGCTTATTTAAGATTAAGACTTGCTTTGTATTTGCATTTTTTTCCCACAAACAGATGGAATCGAATTTTTTCAGGGAAGTCCTGCAACACACACACACACAAAAAAAAATACAATATTGTTATCGTAAACCGTCATCAAAGCAGCGTGTCAATAATTCTGCAGTTCCTCATTTTATACTAACGTTACTGTTACACAATGTTAAATAGTAAATCTAAAGTTGCCACATGATTGCACTGTGCCCCTTTATTCAAATAAATAACAAGTATTCTCAGGTGAAACATAGCCCCGCAGTTGACTTAAAGGCACGGCACTTCAGGTGAATCTTGCCCACTTTCAGTCTCAGTTCTAGCAGGACCAGTGAATAAAATTACATTTAAGACTTGCTATATTCAACTGCTGCAAATGCACCCGTTAATTTGAAAATAAGCTTCAGTCACGGTTTGATTTTCAAGTTTGGTCGCACCAGTGTCACAACTCCAATTATGGAAGATAGAAGACCACAGAACCCCACCACCCCTGCATTGGACTGGTAAATCCCCAACTTATCCAGTGGAATAAAAAGATCACATATATTTTTGAGTGTATCCAGGGCAACTGCAGGATGAGATTTGATAATTTGGAGAAGAAGAAAAATCAGTGCATCTAACTGAGGTACCACAGCCTCTGCTACTTCAGCGCTCTCTGTGAGATGTTCATCCATCTTCCTTTGAAACTCTTTATCTCTGGCTCTTCGGACCATTAACTGGCCAATTACATAAGAATCCCTGATAAGGTTCATAATCAGAGAGAGGAGGTAGCATCGTGACGCGTGCAGGCTCCACGTCTCCTTGTCAATACTGCGGATGAGCCCCACGTTTCGGAGCCAAAGTAAGTTGTCACATATGAAGTAGAGAGCACGGCCGAGGTTGGCTGTGGTGAGTGAGAGGCGGAGCACCGGGTCAGTGAGGAGCACGGTCCGTTTGGCAGCGTCAATGGAGTTCAGTGTGTTCCCCAATCTGAACACTAACAAAGAACAGGAATGAAGGTTAGAGCAGAGCACAATCATTTATGGATTAACAGAGGCAATACGTGACATATTTACTCCAAAAATGTTAATGTTTTTTTTTTTTCTTGTGAGTCATTAGGTCTTTTAAAAGCCTTAGAGAAACACTATTATATATTCAAATAAACAGGGTTCCCCACTCTTTCACAGACAAAATTTCAAAAGTTTTCCATTACTTTTTCATGACCTAAAGTGAATTTTCCATAACTTTACAGTACCCTACATGTGTAGAATGGAGGAGACTTTTAGGGCTAAATATGAAATGTTAACCCTTTCCACTCAATTTATGGTTCGGAATTATAGTTTAACCTTCAAAATACTGTCAACGCATTTATTGTCGTCTCTTTTAAACAAAAGGTGTATACATTCGGAAATAATCATAATAATCTAATGATAACTTAACAGAACGCTGTATAGTTACGTGAAAGAGATGCTAAAATTCCATGACTTTTCCAGGTCTGGAAAATGACATTTTCAATTTCCATGACTTTTCCAGAATTTCCACGACCATGGGAACCCTGAATAAAGTAATTTAATGAACAACCGTTCTAGCTATAGGCTTACAAATAACCCCCTATATACGACTGGAGAATTGTGTCCTTCCACTATGTATGTACCATTTCTATTTCCTGTAGAAGTGTTCAATGAATGTTCCATTGTTTGTCCCATTGTCACCCAATCACACACAACTCCTCACACCACACCACAGCAGAGAACCAGTCCAAAGGCCAAGGACACGGGCAGAGAAAAGAGTAATTCTGTTTAAAAAAAAGTATCTAGAACTCTGCACAAAGGTCAATGAACCAGTTCGAAGTGGATCAAGTCTGTTTTGAAATCCTGAAATAAGGCAGGTTTAATTTGAACACTTTTCTACCCTACTGCTCAAATTACAGATTATTGATGTATATTTCTGAGTGCAAAATGACACATATTTTTACATTATGATGTATGAAAAGGCACAGTTTCCATCATTTACAAGACCAAGGATACAATGTAGTGGCCTAGTTGTTTGACACTTGCTACAAAATAAAATCCTTGTCTGTAACCTCATTAGTCCAAGATTAACCCTAATGCTCTTTTGGGATTAGGAGTATAATTTTATCTCAAAATTTTCGTGATTCTTACATTTTCTTCCAGAACTCATGCTGCTCTCCAGACTTTTCAGTTTGCCCACCAGCTCCTTTCTGTTGGGATCGTTCCGGAGCAGATAGGTGCTGAGAGCGCACGCATACTGGGTCGTCCTGCAAACACAAGCACGATTGTCAACAGTTTACTTAGGAATATTAAAAGATATAAAAACGTAAAATTAGACTTACCGAAAAATGCGATCTCTTCCTTGACTTTGATTAGTTAATTTCACAAAAAACTCCATTGCTGGGTGCAGAGTACACTTTGTACAGAATTAACAAAAAGGAAGCGCGCTCTGAAGCCCTTCTACAAACACGGATTAAAGAACTACCATGATCAGAAATGTACACCTATACCAGCCTAAAACTTGAACCCACACGTGCCATGGCCGTGTAGCTACAAATACCAGTTTTATCTCCGGTTTGGTCAAACAAACCACATGCTTGACATGCCGGTGTCACTTGTTTCTGTCCGGACAGGTTTGCGGAAGGATCTCTCGCTCCACCCACATCCATGCCCACATACGCTGCGCCCGCCCACTACACTTTCACGTGCGCAATGGTGGCTCAGTAATAGAAATATTGGGCTTCAAATCATGATGTACAACCTACACAAAAGTCTGTATAATGCGTGGTTAATATAGCAGTTTTATTGGGCTGCAAGATACAAATTGAAGATGATTAAATTTGGTAAAGACAAAACTCAATTTGCTGCTCAAACTCAATGATCTGCTATGATATATGGAGTCAAAATACAAAACAATAAAATAAATGGTGCATTGCGTAACATTCCGAGTGCATCTCCATGGAAATGTATTGCCGTCTTTGTTCCACCGTAAAGATTAAACCTATCCATCACAAAAGACACAATTAGGTTACAGCACTTGATAACAATTCAGATCTGTGGAGAGTCACACCTATTCACTGAAGTAATGATTGTATTTTTGAGCAATAGTAACACTCGTAATGAATAAATGCTGGATGTTTAATGTCATAACATGGAACATTCCACCATGCAAAGCAATAACATCTCCAGGAGACAAGTAGGTAGCGGACCCTCCACCAGAAATGTTGCGCAGTACACCTTCAAGTTAAAACGAATCTAGTTCAAATACACTTTATTATTTATTCCAATACAATAACTTACTTTTCTTTTAAAATTTACTTTTCCATACAGCTCATTTCTATGGATGACGGAGATTACTTTTTTGTTTTGTTTTTTTGGTTCAACTTGGAGATGTGAAGAAGCGTCTACTGGGATCACCTCGGCCCCTGTGTGAACAAAATCAGTTCTGACTTGGACTGGAACAGGTTTTCAGCATTCGGGATTGGAATTGGACTTACACATTGCCGGCATGTCCCAAGTTGCGTAATCGTCCTGTTATAGACCCCTGGCGGTTTCTGTACGAGCTGAGTTCTGGAGATGTCACGGGCTTGAACAACCGACCTGCACAAGACTTATAATTAAAATGACTCCTATTACGCCGTTTTTTTTAATCCATGTTAGTGTTTTCTCATCAAAAGCGTAAATTGAGTTTCACAAATTTAAGATGTGTTCTTTTCTCAATCAGAAAACACACTGTTCCACCCAATGGTAATACAGAAAGTGCTCCACTGTGTTTTTAAACTCCATACACCTTCACTTGAATCATTTGGATATTTTCAGACCGTTACCATTTATTTATTTAGCTTGTAAACTACCACTACATGACATCACAAGGTGGAACAGAGGATTTTCAAATATGGAATGTGGACAAATTGATAAAAGATTACATGTGTGAATGAAACAACTCTAAGTATGTTTTTGATTAAGTAACAACAATGTCAACATAACTTAAAGCTCACAAGAGTCAATTTTGTGTAATTTAGGACCTTTAAAATATAAATAGGATGAGTTTTATGTAAATAAAGTCGCACATACTGGGTTTTTCATCCTGACTGGTCGTCTTTACAGAGGTTGGAGTCTCACTGACCAATGGGGGAACAGATGTAGGAGTTTGCTCAGTGTGAGACAGAATCCTTTTCCAATAATCAACAGGAATGGATAGCAGCCGACTCATCACCTGTAATAGAGAGTCAAAAGAACTCTGCATAGGCTTAAGAGGATTTTTACTGGCCCAAAATGAGACCTTTTGTGGTTCTGACACTTTTTAAAGACAGGTCTAGAACAGGGTCAGGACAGGCTTTGGTCTGACCTTATGCTGATTGGCCGTGTCCCTCATTATTGTTGTTGGAGAAGGTTCTGCTAATGCATGTCCTATTAACGTTGGTCCAAAAACCCGGCAGAGGTTACTGTGGTCCATGTGGCACTCGGCACTCACCATCACTCTAGAAGACGAGGAGAAGAGACAAGAAGTAGGACAGAAGGTGAGAGATAAAAGGATTAATTAAATGAAAACATTAAAAGGTCCTATATTACACAACATTTACTATTTTAAATTGACAATAGATTTTCAGATTTACGTTACAATGTTGTTACCTTTTCGAAAACATATCTGGAGTTATGTTTTGTTTCATTCACACATGTAGGAGTAACCTTTTATTATTAGCCCATCGGCATCCCCAAAGCTCAATATGCTCTGTTCCACCTTGTGATGTCATGAAACCTACTTTCTACCTTTAGTTCAGTAGGCAATAGGCTCTATTCACGCTTACATCACAAATCAGGAAGACGTTTGGTAAGATGCGATACAACTTCCGGTGTAGTTACTCCCTGAACATGGATCTATTAAAACAGACTGTGATAAAACCCATTGAAGTAAATGTCATCAGCGGTAAAATGAAGACTACGTATGTATGTGCTCTTTGGAATAATCTTGAATTTGACGCTCTCCTCTCTTCTCGCATGGACCCAGTGCGGTCGGAGTTGTGTGTCAGTGGGGAAATGATTAAAACTGAGGTAAAGTTTAACTGCTGAATAGCCGAATATAACAGAACGCTACAATGACATGCAGATGAAGAAATGGGCCTGGAAGTTGTAATTCGTATCTTTCCAAATGCCTTTCCGGTTTGTGACGTAAGGGTGAATAGAGTCTATACCAGAGCTGTAATTATGCAAATGACTTCAGGGAAGGTGTATGGAGTTTAAAAACACAGTGGAGCACTTCTTATATTACCACATGAGATCACAAGCTGGAAAAGAGTTCTGTTTGAGAGAAAACTCACTCTAAATATGCAGGATTTGTGCGTTAAACATGTGAATGAAACAAAACACAACTCCAGGTCTGTTCTTAATGAGGAAACATAACGTAGATCATTATAAAGATTTAAAACGCGAGTACTTGTGCAGGTGCAGCAGGATGATGGCCAGAGTGTCTTTGTTGGGTGGAGGAAGTTCAGAGATGGCTTTGTAGAGAATCACAGTTCCTCTCTCATCCTCAATTTCTGGGCAAACAAGCATATTCAATTAATAAGTAAAGTAAAACGGCACAAGCATTTTTGACACATTCAGATTAGTCTATTATATACGTGCACTGTTTGAATCTGCTCTTATCACCTGCAGTCTCCATGAAAAGTTTGTGCAGTCGAAACGTGATGAGGGGCTCTGGGAGTTTCCTGAGAAAGTCTTTGAGTAGACAACAGATCACGTGCACATCCTCCACCTTCCCCAAATTCAGAGCTGTTTTCCCAGAAAGAAACCTCTCCCTGAGCTCCTTCACTGCCCTGTCACCACCAGGAACTCTGTACAAGCCCCTCTGAAACAAACAGGGGAAAAGGCCTTAGACTTTGACAAACTTAACTGAATCAAAAGGGAAATTATTTGGACGTAGTAGTTCACACATCACAATATAATAACAAAGAGCAAAAATATAAATGATAATAAATTCAAAATAAATAACAAAAATAGCAATAAGCATTCAGCTTAAATATTGTATATGTACAAGAAAAAGAAAAATATTGAAATATAGTATATACCGTATTTTCCGCACTATTAGACACTCTTGATTATAAGGCGCACTGTAATTAAATGGTCTATTTTCAAACCTTTTTCACAAATAAACTGCACCGGACTTTAAACGAAACAATAGTTAGATGGCTCAGTCAGACTTTGTTTGGCGAGTTCACGGTGACTCTGGGCTTTGTTCCGTTGTGGAGTGTAGGGAGGGGGCTGTCTGGAAGCGCTGGATTGTCGGCGTGTTCACAGTGACTCAGTTGTTCAGTTGTGTCTAGAAGTGGCACATTGCACTTGCTTTTTCAGTTTGTTCCTCCGTTCCATTCCTCGTCCATGTGGAGTGATGAGTGTGGCTGTGGGTGTTTTTCGCTGCATGGTCGCTGTCTGCTCCGTGCGTGTTTGGTTCGCCATTGTAGTTTACTGAAGTCGTGCTGGGACACCCGAGTGGATTTATGTATAGGGCGCTCTGGATTGCAGGGCGCACAGTCGTTTTTTTGATGGGGTTGGAGACTTAAGAGCGCACCCAGTAGTCCAGAAAATACAGTATATCTCAGCTATATAAAAGAGGTTGTAAGGAGAAACAGTCCAAAGATTAAATAGTGATTGACATGGGGTCATCTATGACATAAGGGTGAGTTGTTGTACAGTTGTATTAAGTATGGTATGAATTTAGTCCTGTGTCTCTCACTGTTAGAGCGCAGTTTAAGGAGCCTGTTTGATAATTTAAAACAAAAAATAAAAAATAAAAAAAATCAGGAAACCAGGAGGAACAGAAGAAAAGAGCACCAACCTCCTTAAGCCCACGGCGCTCAATCTCTGAGATGCACTCCACCACCAGCAGGGGAACTCTGGGGCGCTCTGTGGGACAGAAGCTCTCCAGCGAGCCCTGGACCAAAATAACAACCAAGGCAAGAGTCATTTTTGACACTGATATTTTATGTTTTATAACTTGACTCCATGGAATTGTTATGCTTTGCCTGGCATGTTTCACAGTATGGCATTGACAAGCTGATGACGCCAATAGGCCAAGTTTTGTGGAGAAGTGACCACATTTACTGCAAGAATCTAAGGTTTTCTTGAAGCAATTAAAAAAAAAAAAAAAGTTTAATGCTTACTACGGAACATTCCAGGCAACCCCACTGTTTCCAAGTGACAGACACACATTTTTATAGCATGGATGTTTTACCAAAAATAAAAATAAAACCTCCAAACATTATTTCATTAGACAGTATACAAACTTAGTGGTCTGAACTCACTGGTTTGATCTGTGTTCCTGCTTTGGTCTGAGGTCCCAGTGGAGAAGGTCTGATTGAGGAGCAGCCCACGGGACACTTGTTCTTGCACTCGGGATGAACCACAACTCTGCAGTTTCTACACTTCACCACCATTTTACCAAAACGCATCCTCTTCCCACAGCAATAGCACGTCTCCGGACGGATCACCTTCAACAACAGGTACACTAGTACTCAGTCGAGACAGAAACCAGGACTAAACCGGCATTAAACCGGCACTGAATGAGTGGTACCGTTTTCGAGATGAACACGTGCTTTGTGCCATTAGTGTTATTGTTAATATTGTAGCTGGTCTTGCAGGGCGTCTGGATGGGTGTTCTGTTGCAGATGTTTGAAAAGGTACTGGAGCTGGAGTTGGTCCTGAAGAAGTCCTCGGTCCGGGTCACAGTTTCTGGTTCCAGAGTCTCCTCAGAAGGACACCACACCGATGTTTGGTCTACAAGAGAAAACAAACCAATCTATTGGAAAAGAATGGAGACAGAGTCATATGCAAAAAAAGAGTTACTTAAACATGTGTAAATGAAACAAAATAACTCAGGTATGTTTTTGATGAGGTAACAACATTCTAACAAGAGTTAATTTTGCATAATATAGGACCTTTTTTCCTAATCCATATACATTTAATCTCTCAGTATTTGGTACAAAATGTAACTAAATCCATCTGCTTGTTTTGAATTGACTGATTAATTTCTGTCATTCAGCGCATGATGAAGGATGACGTACTGGAGGAATGGGTGGGGGAAAAGTGCACACATCATTACAGATGAGATTCTGAGGAGATGACAGACTGAAGCAACCAATCAGAGAAGATCAAAAGAACAGATAACCAAGCCATTAGAGGAAAAGGGAGACAGGGCTGACCAATCAGAGCTCAGTACCTGCATCAACTGGAGCCAGCTCTGCACTTGGTATGGTTCTTTGGTTTTGTTCTTGCGTAATCCCCACCACCATGTGGCTCTGAGACGATTCTGGAGAGCAGACTGACACCTTCCCAATGGTCTCCACCTCCTGAAAGTAGACATGTTTAAACTTAATAAAACCTCTTTAAACACATAAAAACTTAAAACATCTAACAGACAAATTAAACCAGTATAAATAAACCATTACGCTCCCACTATAACAAAACAAACACAAACTGAAGAGCACTTCGGTACATGACATTGTATCAGAAGACAGTTGTACTTTATTCAGGTTCATCCTGTCCTGGATGTGGGTCTGGATCTCCGTGGAGATGCTGGTCCTAACCCTCTTTCCCACTGGCCCGTTAGCAGCAGAGACCACACCCATTGAAGAGCGCTGACCAATAGAAACACAGGTTACTTCATCAGGTGTCTTTGATGGACTTTGGTGATGAAAAGTGAAAGGTTCTGACCCGTTTCTCTCTGGCTCTGGACTTCAGGGGCTTGATGACTGTAGAGTCCAAGTCCTGGAAGCAAGACCACGGTTAGAACTTCATAATAATCACGTAGGGCTACACAATTTGGAGAAAAAAACAAACAAATAAATGTACAGTTTTTCTGAAGTATTGTGATTAGACATGCAATATATGTTTGATTTAATTGTGATGTATTGCGCAGCCCAAATTTTTACATTTTCACTGTATATGTTTAAATAAAAATACCACATCATCATCTGTTCGGTCGTAGCTGATATCCGAGTGAGACAGAAACGAGGACTCGTCGATCACGGACAACCTGATAAAAAGAACCACAGTTAGACCCAGCCTAGACCTGGGTCAGATCCAGTCTGTTCCTGGTACCTCTTGCTTGCTTTGTGAATGGTGCTGGCCTGATTCTTGTGTTCAAACGTGGCGAGGAGAGACTTCTGCTCTTCATTTAAACAGGAGCTGGACTTCGAGTCTTGGACCAGGATGTCACACATGAGCTGCATCTGTCTCTGCTGCAGGAGGAGCACACAACACAACATATCAGAGACTCACCACTTAAAAAATGAGAAGGAGAAAGAGACGGAGACTGCAGCAACACAGTGCCAGTGAATACAGATTCTATAGGATATGTGTAGTACTGTAGTATTCCACTGTTTACTATCTGTATTTTGATGTACTTCATAGTTTTTCTCACCAGGTACTGGAAGTCCCGCTCCACTCGTAGTCGTTTCTGCATCTCTAGGTCCAGCTGGTTCCTCACATGCTTCAGTTTCACTTCCAGCGCCGCTTTGGCCACATCTGACTTCACCAGCAGCTCCTTGTACTTCTTTAACTCAGACTCTGCGGTGAAACAGCGCCTCCTCAAGGACTCTAACGACTTTGCCATCTCCATAAACTCTGGACAATTATTCGGTTATCAGAAACATAACGATCATAGGCATGTGATCCTCATAATCATCCTTATTATAATTGCCACAGCTCCTTTTGCGCCTACAAACTGGGAGGGCCCATCACTAAGAACAGAATCTTTCCCAACTCTTTAATTAAGCCTACTTCTTACAATGTTTTAATTTTTAAAAGTTTTGAAATGAAACTTGTTTTAGTTTTGCATTATTTAATTTTGTTTGTGTTTGTTTTATTGAATGTAAGGACAAATATCTTGGGTCAGGGTCTCGGAGCCCTGGGGTCCACTCATACCTGAAGATGGCCCCTACCTGTTGGCAAGGAAGTACTAGTAAACATTAGCCAACTCAAGGTTGACATGTTAAAGCAGGTTGGGAATTGAACTTCATTCTAACAAGGATAAAATCATGCCCAACATGTACACATTCATCCACCAGGGAAATTAGTTTTTCTGAAGTGCTCCAGTGGCTACATAAATGATCACAGGTGCAATAGTGAGAATAAAGCCCATCCAATATATTCTGTAACAAATATGAGGTGGACTCATAGGTAGTCTTTAGCCTAAATTCATTCATGGTTTGTGATGAGACCAAATTGTAAAGACAACATTTCTCATGTAATCATCAATATTACAGAATAAATATTAGGAGAAGGTGCATTGTAAGCATTGTACAATATTGCATAGATTATTAGTTTGGGCCTTACAATCCTTAATAAAAATAATAGTTTTTAAAAGTTACTTACCCATTTCAGTATTCATGGATGACTGCTGCAGACTCCAACACAGAGACAGAAGCTCCTCCACTGCCCGGGACTCCATCACTCTCTCACCTCTCTCAGTAGGCTCTATAACAGGATGTGCATAGTCGTGGCTGGCCAGGCTTGTTTGGAGCTGATTTAGACTTGATTCCCCCCCTTAGGGTCCAAGTGGTCCTCTCCTGCTCCCGTCTCCAAAACTCTCATCAGTTGAACACTTTCAGCTGCAGAGGGACATGTGACTTCTGGAGATGTTCAGATTGGCTCCCATTGACAGTATTTTACACACCCCTTTTTGTGTCTGTAGTTACAAACAGCGTCCTCCAGAGGGCGCAATGTGCAAAGTCAACATGTAATGAGTATATTTAGTCACTAGAGGGAGCTGATGTATAATAAATTATCCAAAGTTCTAGTACAATAACTTTGATCTACTCAAAATTTATAATCTTGTCTTGTATAGATAATATTGTTTTTGTGAAAGAGACATTAATGCTCAGTTAGTATAAGTGAAATGAAATAGGCTACTTGTTAAATAGTGTCATTTTAAAACACATTACATTGTACAATTACAGTGTAATATGAGGTAAAAGAAAATACTACAAAAATATTAGTTAGTGGGCGTTTATGGATGACTGGATTATAAACAGAAAGCCCACAGAGACAGGCCATGACCTTAAAATGTAAATAATTTAAGCATTCATATTACAGACAACCATGTCATTTAGGTCAAAGATTGTTTCACAAAATTAAAGGCAAAGGAGACATTCAGTTTGTCAACTTGACAAATGTTTATTTAGGTCAAAAACCAACCAGAACTGAAGAAGCAGCTTGGATGACCTGCGAAACGTTTTTGACCTGAATAATCATGTGCCCAGTTGACAAATTAAATTTCTCCTTTACCATGGATTCTACCTGGACAACTGAGGGATTTTATACACAAAATTAAAGCTAGACATGTTTAATGCTACTGTGGAACAAACCAGGCAAGGTAGTGGACACATCAGAACTAAGATGTGTTTAAAAATACTCATTATACTAGTTATATTGTTTTTGTATTTTCATAACTTGTTGTCAGTGGATCACTCAGCATTCATACTTACTCATTCATTTGATTCCTTCAGTAATTCCTCAGTTATTTCTACACTTTGAATCATCGCCGTCTCTTCACCTACTTCCCACACACAAAGACAAGCCACCAAAATGAACTGAATGATTTTTATTGTTCAGCACTGAAGATGCTCACAGTTATGTCATATGGGGATTACATCAGTCTATTTTCCTGCTCTGACAGAAGACCACGGAGGCCTCTGATTGGTCAGCTGTCCGTAGTGCTGCTAACTTCCCATAGTAGAAAACAAAGGAGGGTGTACAACGGGGTATTGCTTTGTGTTTTGTAGTACTGATATCTACCCACAGGCAGACACAGCCAAGAGCTCCGAGCCTTCAGAGAGAGGTACAGTGTCAAAAAGGAAGCATCATTTCCAAAATTTGTGCACGAGATAAAGAGGAGGAGAAAGGGAAAGGCTTTAGGGACAGTTTAAAAAAAAAAAAAAAAAAAAGAATAAAAAGGCCAAAGGTAAAAGCAGACAGAGAGAGAGAAACCTGGGACAGAGGGAGCATCCGACATTTGAAAAAGGGCGTTTATAGTGGCTCCGTGAAGGCTGAGAGGAGGAGTGAGTTTGGCATGGAACAAGAACACGAAAGCCATGCAAAGAAAAGCTTTGACATGCACACAGCAATACAAGCTAAAAGCATAGAGCAGGAATCCCCAGCATGGTTTGAGAAGACAATCAAGCCCCACGGCGTGTCTGTCTATTTACATTGGCTCGGGCCTATGCGCACACGGATATGAGACTGATCCATTGTCTAGAACTGAACTATCAGAAGAGCGTATTTCCTCTCCCAAAGAAGCTAAGTCTACATTCTTAAATTACTGGTATGACATTTTTTCTTTGACAATTTCTCTTTCTCAGAGAAGAAGAGTTGTTCACATAATCAGTTTAAGTCAGACCAAAACATAAAGAAAAAAAGTTCATTTTTTTCTTCAAATGTCCCATTTACAAACACACAAGGGTAATAAATAACATTCAACTGACCTAACAGCTTTGTTCATATAAATAGCCAAGTTATAATAAATTAGGAAATCAGAAGGTGAAATGACAGACATCAATAAATAAGCACAAGAATACAAAAATATCCATTTGTCACTGTAGTTTTTTGTTCCTCTTCTCCTATTGCTGGTAGTTGAGACTTAAGGCTGAGTTCACACTGGAAGAAAGTGGCACAAACCTGAGTACTCTGAGTAATACGACCCTCATACAACAACAAATCCGAAAACAGACATCTTATTTATACTGTTCCTGCCAATTTTTATAACTGTACAAACTCACACTTAGAACAAAAGAACAAAAACTGTACTACTGAACACCTAATATTGCTCTGATTAATATCAAAAGCAAATGATGCAGTGGTTATGGTGACAGTGTAAACAGACCCTTTCTCCTAATACAATTACCTAATACAATTTCTTTTCACATATCAACTTTAATACTATACCCTTTGCAATGCTTTACTTCTACTTTCAGATCAGTAAGTAACATTCAAGGATTCAGTACACTGATCAATACTTTGGTTTCTGTTCAAATGCCACAATATAAAACTGTATTTGGTTTATAGCAGGAGTGTCCAGACTTTTCTTTAAGGACCATATATCAAAACACAGATGAAGCAGAGTCACTCAAAGGCCATAGATATTTAACATCTGTGCGTCAATAACAGGTCAGAATGAGCCATGAGACTTTTGTTCATGTTTAAATACTCCATAGGACACATTCAGTATTTGAAATAGACTTTATCAAGGTCGATTTTCACTAATACTTTACAATAATTCACACTTATGTAATAGATAACCTTCTGTCATGTCAATCACTATTTCATCTTTGCACAGTTTTCTCCTGGCGACCTCTAATACAGCTAAAATATATTGTATCACTATATTTCTATACTTTATATTTCTACTTGCACATATAAATTTATATAATTATGTTATTTAACACCAGTCTCTTGTTATTTTTGCTACTTACTTTGAATTTATTATTACCATTTATATTTTTGCTCTTTGTTATAATAATATATTGTCATGTGTGAGCTACTGTGTCCAGATCTTTTCCCTTGTGGATCAATAAAGTTTGTGTAAGTTTAAGTCTAAACTTGTGCAAAAAGTACAGCTTAAGATAATATGAGTCAATTCACATGCAAGCCTGAGGGCTAAGAAAACTAGGTCTAAGGGCCACAATTGGTCCTCAGGCCATAGTTTGGACATGCATGGTTTACAGATCAGCCTACTCTGGTTAAAACTGCACCCAAATCAAACTCAAATCAGACATGGACCACTTTCAACTCCAGTGTGAGCGCAGCCTGTAAGAGAGAGGTATTGAATGGAAACAACACAAGTGCGTCAGATTACAGATAACAGGAATGTCATTGAAAACCATTGATCATGAAATAACCATAATTCTTAGGTAAGACAAATGATGCTCTAACAAAAATACATTAATTTTAAAACATGATGAGGCTGGTGCAGGTGTGTTCCAACCCGACCGTAGATATAGCTAAACTCACAACTAGACATTTCATTTTTTATACATAAGAAATCAGTCTGTACAGAATAGATCATTCATTTTAAATACCCACAATGCCACCCACCCCAACCATTTATTTTCCCATAATGCTATCATAATATCCTCTGCCCCGCCCCCCAAACTCCACCCCCCTCCCCGCCTCCCCCCACCTCACAATTCCAGTGCATTTTGCAGCAATAGAATCAAGTCTAATAATAATAATAATCATAATCATAATAATAATACATAATAAAGTCAATATTTTCCAAAGTTCTTCACAAAGAAAGTACATTTAAAAAGCGAACTCAAAGTCATTACAATCCAGCAAGCAATCCGCGTCGGCGTTGTGTGGCGGGTCTCCTCTCCCTTCTCTCCTCCTCGAAATCAGTCAATGTTTAATGTCTGTAAATTGTAATTGTTCTTCATAGTAATACATCCCAGAGATTTGGAATTTTTGTGCATACCGGACATGTCCAAGAAGTGCTTGTCTCCAATTGAAGGAAAACTGGTAGATCTGTATGGAGTGTGCGTTGAGTTGTGTCTAGTTCGGTGTACTGTAAGTCTATGATGGGACATGGGAAATACTAACAACTACTGGATCTACTTCTAGAAATGGCAGCTAGAAGTGAAGAGTTTCTATGACAACCCCCTCAACGTGTACAGCTCCTCTGAAGAAAAAAAAAGTACATCTTCCATCGTCTAGAAATGTCCGTCTTTCTTGGCACTCTTTCGAAGGAGGGGTTTGTAGACTTGGAAACGCCTTAATAGGTTTTTTGGATTATTCCTGGTGATGGAAAAATTGACATGATAGGAAAGTTAGAGCAGCATGGAATAATCGGATACATATGAAGATGGAAAAATTATGGATGAGTGGGGAGTGGGATGTGCATTCAGAAAATATACGTTTAGTCATTCATAGAAAAAGGTCTTTGCGAGGTCTATGATTCATCCTGCGTGCCGACGGATGCCACGGATAGCTTAGCCCGGGGGCATTTAGCGTCATTGTTTTCGTGATCGGGGAGTCTCCGGACCAGCGCGGGTGAGGGGCAGTGCTTGGGGGCGTAGGAGGGCACCTGGCCGTTCTTCTCGTCTGAAAAGAGTTGTTTAATTACGTCAAAGAAGTGACTCAATGGGCTGCCTACAGGTGCACACACGGAGAGAGGACACAGGGCAGGAGCAGAGGGAGAGAAGAACAGAGGACAGAAGTGAACACCGGGTCACAGAAGAGAGAAGGAACCACACTTCACAAGAGGAGGGAGAGCGGACGACAGCAGCTCTGCAGACAGCGTGGGGCGGTTTTATGTAAGCCATGCACAGCTACAGAAGCGCTACTATGAGCCTGCCTAACTGATGAAACTTGGACTTCCACTAGTGCCCAAACAACCAAGATCCCTTTGTCTAAACTTAAATTACACCTGACACCTGATTATATCCTATTTTAGTTCCAGTTTAGCCATAGTAAATAACTGGTTGGTTTGGTGTGGGTTTAGTTTCCATTTAGACCAGGGGTGTCCGAACCTTTTTCAGGGACTGTTTACACGAGAACACTTGCGGGTAAATATTTTATCAGAAGTGCCTTTTGTTTAGATGATGATGACGGTTTTTGGGGGATTAAAAACGCAGAGATCTGAAACCACCCTCCAGAGTGGAAAAGTTGAATACGCTCTGTCGTAGCGTCACCGTCTACACTGCCCAAGACGCAAAACTCTAGTTAGATCTGATCACGTCGCATACGTGTTTACGTCACATACATCACCACCTAGCGTCATCACCTAGCCGCCTGGCATGCAAACCCAATCGAATTCCACACATTTTGCGTCACTGTATGCACGCAGATTTCCTCCCAAAACACTCATCTAAAAGCGGAATAAAAAGTGATGACGCGACACCACTTTTGCATCTTCTGTTCAGACCGTCATCATATAAACATAGCCTCAGACTGTGTTGAAAAAATATTTCAGCCACAGAGCCACAGACTGGTAGCCTGATTCATCACCCGGTTTCAATTAGTAGAAACCGTCTGACCTCGCAGCATTAGAATTTCTTCGCTTGATGGTAGGCGAGTACTTTTTTTCATTTAACCAATCGCTGCTATTTGGTCGTGAAGTATGTAATGCGCCGCTAACGGGGCTAACTGATATATTAAGCTTTTTCCAAATCCCGTAGGAAGAAGGCCAATAACGTCTTTCTCCTTGATAAAATTCACCAAACATTCTCTTTGTTTCGGTTTTAAATCCTCGATCTCGGGAATTGTTGTCAAAACAGAAATGTATGGCTCTTCGATGATTGACTGGTGCCGGAACTCGCACTTTCGGGGGTTTAGCGAACCGTCTAGTGTATTCCGATTTCTGACCTAGTCGCTGGAGAGAAATGAAATTAAGCGGAGGCACTAGTCTAGTTAACAGTCTGGAGATCAATGCATCAACTCAGACGGGTGCAGATAGATGCGCAGCTATTACAGAGCCACTGTACCTCTAATAAAACTTGTAATGATTAGTCTGTATCTCAATTTGGGTAAAATCAGCTGGAGGCACGAAAGACCTGAAGCTGTGATATCATACACAATAAAATATACAAGATAATTCCATTTTGAGGTCTGCCAATCAACATTCTACCTGAGACTATTGTTGTTACCAAATTACGCAGTAATAGTTGCAAAACGTTTTACCAAAGCTAAAAATATCTTACTGTAATGTGGGGGACATTACAGTGGCATCGTTTATTACAAAACATTGAACTTTATTCTCTCTGTTCTCTATTTTTCCCTCAATCAGGCTACACTTTACTAACATAATTAAAACATGGGCAACTGTCATATAACTAGATCCTGCGCCTTCCCTGTGTTCAGTTTCTGTGAGCTGGTGCTAAAGCAGATGTAGCCAGCCAAAAGCAGATCACATGACGGCAAATGATGAGAAAGAATCAAAAACTCCAAGAAGGAAATGCCACAGTAGCGCTCCCACTCATTTTATCCGTCAGTGTTTGTCAGTACAGTGACAGGAGCACGGGCCTTGGAGGAGCTGTGATGATGGAGTCTGTCTATCGGGTGCTTTTTTGGACCGAGTCAAGCATGTGATGTTTGGACTGAGCTCAGAGCCACAAGACAAGCTTTGATCAACGCATTTGTGCACAACAGTCTGTTATACACTCCAGCTAACAATGCAAGCATGCACATCAAACACAACAAGGGGCAGCAGCAGAGTTTTGCTACGCTTAAAGAAAACACGACTGGGAAGTATAAAAGAAATGTTGTTTTTCCTTTGGTTTGCTTTGTTTTTTGGTAACAGATAAATCCCCTGACCAATACAGAAGTAGTGTAAAGTAGCCGCCTATCTTCCTGGATACATAGAAAATACAAAATGATTATACTTCTAATTGTATTTTCTAGGATATTTAATGAAAGCCAAGAAAACATCGGTCACTCCATCTGAACCTGGACTGCAAAAAACAAAATCTAGCCAAGTTAAGATGACTTGAATTAAGAAAGTTTGACGATGATTTGAGTAAATTTCACTTGACAAGTAAAATTATCTGCCAGTGGAATAAGACTTTTTGTACTTAAAATATGAAAATACATCTTGCTACACTTAAAATAAGAAAAACAACAACTTTTTGCACTTAAAATAAAAAACAAAATCAAATGTTACTTGAATGAAGAAAAACACACTTAAACACACAGATAATTTTACTTGTCAAGTTGAATCTACTCAAATAAAGTAAAATGAACTTAATTTAAGACATTTTAACTTACACAGATATAGTTTTTTTTCCGTGTAAACTTGCTTTCTAACATGACCAACAGTTTTCACACTCCTGCAAATTATTAAGAACAAATTTAAAGGCTTTCTGATCTATGTTATAGTGTTGAATTCTCATCAAAAACATACCTGGAGTTATGTTTTGTTTCATTCACACGTTTAACCCACAAATCCTGCATATTTAGGATATTAGAATGAATGAATTTTGATAGTTTTAAATTGTTTTATTCAAATACAGAAAGTGCTCCACTCCGTTACACATACACTAGAATCATTTGGATGATTTCAGATCTTTAATTTCCAATCTCCACTGAACTAAAGGTATACAGTAGCTGGTAACTTGAAAACTACCGCTTCATGACATCACAAGGTGCAGGGCATTTTGAGCTTTTGAGATAAACACACAAATAAACCAGGATTACTCGAACAAGTGTGAATGAAACAAAACACAACTCCAGGTATGTTTCCGAAGAGATAACAGTATTTTAACGTATCTTAAAGTTCACAAGAGTCAATGTTTGCGTAATATAGGACCTTTAAAGAGCAAAACATCTAACAACTTCATTTCTTTTGCCAGCTTGAGGACTTAACTGAGATTGGTTCAACAATGAAAGTTAAGGAGATGCAACTCCCGAATGGCTTTAATTGGTATTCAGCGCTTCCTCAAATCATAATTGCTTTTATGTGGTCGATGAACTAGCTGTATCTTGGGAGGTCAAAACAACAAGGAGCTCATCTTGGTTTAATAAAGTGGGATTAGCACTTTAAGTCTTGCATTATATACGGCATACAAATGTCTATAGTGTCTCTAACCTGTCAATAACATTACATAATTAAAGCTACATTCAAACCCCAAATAATCACGAGCACACTTCATAATTTTGATGGAAAACATGTTTGAGGTAAAATGTAAATTGAAAGTTTTTTATATTGTTCTATTCTATTCAATATTGTTTCTACCTCTGTCGTAATCTCCTTTCATCTCTGAACTCCAAAGGCGTCAAATCAAAGCACATTTACAAAAAAATTATGATCTGGATTAAATTAATTACATTTCTATTGTATTTCTATTGTATTGATTGACAGATATGAAACAATACCCTTTTGAGGTAGTATTATGTAAAATGTGGGGAAACACTTGAGAAAACCTGCACGGAATAAAAATGAGCTGCTTGCGTTTTTAAAAGTCACCAGCAGAGGGCGCAGGTGTTAAAGCTATAAGAAGCAGGGCGGCTTAAAAAACAAAAGCTAACAAGCAAAGAATAAAAATGTGTCAGTGTTTGTGTAAGTTAGTTATGTTTATCTGATTATTTATATATTTTAAGATTTTGTAGGGAGAGTTTGAAACTGTAACCCGTCTTAAGTGTGGTCGTGGATGCCAATTGATTGCAAGATAGCTTCTGGATGCAAGGGCTTTTTGTGAGGCGTGTCTGTGTCTAAAAACATGCATAAGTCTGCTACTCCAATTAGGTTCTCCGGGTTGAATATCTGCTCCTGACGGGTTGCACTGTAGCCTTAAATGTTGGGTAAAATGCAAAGAACAAGTCTACTTTAACTTCACATTGTCGTTGGAGCTATTCAAAGGAAATTATAGGTCTCATATTGACGACTACAAAAACAATTTTAGCGTATTTTTTGATGCATTAGACACCTACTGATTTCAACTTTACAATTCTCTCATGTTCTTGAATGATTATTTTTCTTACTATTCAGGTATTCAGGTAAAACTTGCAGCTCTAAAGAGATTGTTTGAGGTGACAGAGTTTTTTTTTTTTTTTACACTATAGTAACACAGACGAAAAGACGTGAAAACACACAAGAACAGAGTAGCACGTTTGCCAGGTGAGCTGCTGCTGCGAGGTGCATTGCATTATGGGAGCACGTTGAGGTAAGGTTGTGTTGCCATGGCGACAAGCCCCTCTCGGGAGTCTCGGTAGGAGTAGCAGAATGCCAATCAGCTCAGCCTACTTTTGATGTCGTCCACGAGAAACTACTGGCCAACTGTTTGGGCCGTCAGCGCTGTGAGGTTAAAGGGTGATAGGGCATGCTGCGGAAGCCGTCAGGGCATCGGGCGCAGGGTCAGACCAGGCACGGGAGGAGGATTATAGGCCGGCGCAATGGGAGAGGTGGGCTTGGGTGGGCTTCGGTGGAATGGGAGAGATGGAGTGGGTTCACAGCAAAAAAGGAAATATCTGTTTTAGTTAAATGGCTGGAATTCTGAATATTAGATCTGAGTAGTTCTGTTTCATCCCTACTGTCATTCAGGACTCATAGAACTCTAGTTTCAATTTTAGATGCCTAATTTATTTGGTCTTTTCCAAGATATTTCTAACGGCTCAATATTTATTTTTATTTTTTTCAAATAATCCACTTTGCCAGAGGAAAAATTTGTGGAAAGCACTGGGACTAATCTTGGAACTAATCCTGGACTATAAACCAGGACTAGAACAGGATCAAACCAAGTCTACATCAGGACAAAACTGGGCTCAAACAAGGACTCAACAGAGGCGACTGTGAAAAGGACTGAGAATAATACATCAAAACTACAAAAGCACACATTCATATTCAGAATTCCAGTATTTTCTCACTATGCAGATACCCTTTTGCTGTATTGTGGTGAAGAAAAATCAGGTTTGGTTAAAAAACGAATAATAAAAAAAAGTAATAAAGAAAGTCAAAACTCACCAGTTAGCTGTTGGACCCCAGGCTGGTCATGCGTGCTTAACAACTGGCTCTGAATGGACTCCACTACTCGCTTAAAACGCCGACTGGGCCCTGAATGCAACACAAAGAGAGGAAACACAAATTCTTCTTCAGTCCAGACATAAAGCTTAAAGAAATTAAAGCTACAGAATATGAGGAAAACTCTTTGGATAGAATATATACTGTAGCATGGAGTCGTAACGTCACAGATGTGCACTAACGTAATGACAGTTCAACTCCCCGAATAGCGGCCTCAGTATTTTCACCATCTCCTGCAGAGGTTATGAGTCATATTCAGTCAGATTAGCATATTTTTGGCACAGAAAGTGACGAAATAGAAGCCCAGAATACCCAAAATTTCTCCCAGACCTCCATCTTGCCAAAAGTTTTATGTGTTACTCATGGCGCAGTGTTCAGTCATTGTTTACTCTGTTTACTGATACTTTGCAGTAACATCATGCTGGCTGGGGTGTTCTCTAATGAATTTTTATTGACTCAAGATTAAGATTTAGCTCGGATTAAAGTCTAATTTGGGTAAAAGAGCTTCTAACACAGCAGTGCTTACAGTTAGCTTCACACCCACAGGGAATGATGATGATCTGCTCCAAAGAATCAATCATTTTAGTTCAACCAGATTTGGTCTCACTCGTGATTCTTTTTGTAATTTTTCATATCTGCAGACAGGATGACGCACCAAATATTTTTTTGAGAAGCCAGAATCACTGTCAACAAAACAGCAATCCAAAGTTTTAAGCTTAAGTTTTTGCACTGAAGCGTATCAAATGAAATGGCTTAACTTGGAAAAACAAAACACTTCTTACACTGTAGCTGTGCAAATTGGACAAACATACTTTTCCACAGCCTTAAAAGTTACGCTAAAGGTGCACTGTGTAACATTTCTAGTGGAGGATCTGCTACGTGCTTATCTCCATGGAAATGCTATTGCTTTGTCTAGAATGTTCATCATAAGTCACATCTGTGGAGAGTCGCCCCTATTCACAGAAGGAATTATTGCATTTTTGAGCAATAGAAATGATCTCTAATGAATAAATATTGGATGTTTAATGTCATACCATGGGACATTCCAGGCAAAGCAATATCGTCTCCATGGAGACAAGAAGGTAGCAAACCCTCCTCCAGAAAAGTTGCATTTTATACATTTAAGTAAAGTTAAATTTGCACTACATAATCATTTCTTTGGGGGTCCGTCACCGCCTTGTTTCTATGGATATGTCATTGCTCTGTCTGGAATGTTCCACAGTACGACATTAAACAGCTCTACATTAAATTTATTCAATTACAGCTCAAAATTACAAAGACTGAACCTGTAACTTGGTCTGGTTTGGTCTCCATGAAGATAAAAAGGTTTAATTCCATACTGTGAAGCATTCCAGATAAAGCAATAACATCTCCATGGAGACAAGTAGGCAGTAAACCCTCCTCCAGAAAAGTTGCGCACTGCACATTTAAGTTAAGTTAAGTCTGTTTGAATGGTTGGGTGTGACAGGAATGAAGTACTTGATGAAGAGGGAGACTTGTTGACCTGTTGTGGACATTACACAGTCAGTGGGACGGAACAATCGGCTCCCTCCAAAGCTGCCTGTTTCCGTGACAGTGTCGGAAAAACTGTATCCGTGCAACCCTGGGCAGCACGCATGATTGAGTAGTATGTAATCTCGCATAGCCAGACCTCATTTAGGCAGGCACAGTGCGGCTGGATGAGGGGGAAATCTTATCAAGCATTCAAAATGGGAAAAACTTTGAAAATCTGTAGGCAGCGTTCCTTTTGGCAAGAAAACACCACCACTCCAAAAAACACTCTTCTGGTGCATTTACTGGAATGATAAGTTCATTTTTCCCCAAGAAGTAATTTTAATATTTTGTTGGAGTACCCTGACATCTTGCCTACACCCCAAAGCTTTCCCAGTTATAAATAGCTTATGAAAAACATTTGCAGTGAAACAAAATGAGCAGTGATCTTATTAAATGGATAAGTTGTAAAGTTGGGTGACAGTTTTGGCTTTGATAGTATTATTAAAACTGATGCTGGATAAGGAAACAATTACAGCTGACTGCATAGTATTATGATTAAAAAGAAACCTTTTTGCCTTATCTTTGTATTCTATTTGACTATACTTTGGTGCGTTTGACAGACAATTTTGACTGTTTTTTGAAGTTTTGTATTTTTCATCTGATAAGAAAAGAACTATCTAGTGGGAGAGACTTTGAGGACGCCGTCAAGGGATTCAAGTTTGTAAAAAGTAAATTGGTTAAAGTGGAAAAGAGGAAATTCGTGCAACTGTTATCATTAAGGTTAAGTGAATCAAAATTGTTATAATGTATTGCAAATGATAAACTTTACCAGCCCTAATAAACAAGGGGAATCTTATTAAAGTGCATTTAATAACATTTTTCCAAGTATGCTGCTGACATATACTAGTATGTTCTACTTAATCCAGTTATACAGTGGGTACATTTACACAATTACTATCAATCAGATAACTAGAATACTCTAACAACCCCAAAAACAGATCTGACTGATTTAGTAACTGTTGTATTTAGAAGTGCAAAGAAATGTTTTAGTTGATCCTTATTGCATAATTTTCCCTGTCGAAACCTGCAAAGATGTGAATAATCAGACAGAGAGAAATCACATTACTCAGTTGTAACTTTTACATGACATTTTAATAATCTGATAACTCCAGAAATCAGATAATAGTTGGTTGATGTAGATGTCAGTATGAAAAGCTGGAGCATTTGCCTGACCAGCCCGTCCTTTTTACATTCTGATTGAACGCAGAAGGGACTCGAACGGGACCATAGAGTGTAAAAAAACTGTCTAAACTTGAGACGGTCCAACCTAATTTGTATCACGTATCTCTAAAATACAGAAAACATCTCCTCTTGAATATTCTTGTATCATTCAGAACAAAATATATAACTTCTTTTACCTGAGAAGTAATAGTTTGATGCTTCGATTGTTGATTCTGCAAAAATTCACGCTGTTTCTCTGTCCTTTTTGTTGTTTTTTTTCCCCTTTTTACATATAAACTGCCATGTTTGTTTTTGATGTAAACAGACCATGCGTCTCTCTGATTGGTTAATCCACCTGTCAATCATTCCCTCTGAATTCGGGGAGACCTGATACAGCTCCAGATCCACTTGTCTTTGTTAAGTTTTGTCAAAGCGTGCGGTTCTGGCTGGTCAGGTAACTGGAGCATAGTTTGAACTTGTTACGCTCCAGTTGGTGGGCAAACACTCTGCACTACACTACACCATTGTCAGTCCAAGTTTAGTCCAGTCCGAAGTTATTAGACAAACCAAAAATACTATAAATAATTATGTGCATTTCCTCCTTATTGCTTAAACTCTGACCTGAAAGAAGGATGAACGTGACTGAGTAGATGCCGTTCTCCTTGGTGGCGGCTGTGCTCTCCGTGTAGGTGATGTCCACTTGGAACTTGACGGGCTTCTGGAAAACCGTGGGACCCGCCGTGGACTTGTACTCTGCCCGGAAACTGGTCTGGGAGATGACGCTGTGGCTCAGGCTCGGGATCTGCTCCGGAGACACAACCAAAGTAAAAAAAAATAGCCTAAATAGGATTATAGGATACTGTTATTCCTTGTGTGTTACAAATGACAAGGTGAACAAGCCCTAATTAGACCTCCTCCACCTAGGCACTGTTAAAACTTTAAGAAGATTATTGCCACTGTGAGTAGCCATGCATGCGGGCAGGACTTAAGCAATGTAATCTCAACATTTGTAGCTAAAATGAATTTGTACACCCAATGAGCAGGTGAGCCTCAGAATTGTCATGTGTGGCCATATTGTGGAGAGGCTTTGACATTTCATTAACATAAGCATGCTGAGAGCTATAATTCCAGCAATCCGGGTGCCAATCTCCTGTCCGGAAAACCAGCTAGTATTACACAGTGAGAGAAAATAGCTACCTCCAAGAAATGGGGAAACCAAATTGACACTGACCGACCTTGGCACTACGCACTTTGTAAAATCTAAAATGCTGTTCTGGTCAATTCTACACAGTGGATATTGACTACCTGTGTCCAAATGTTTACGTAAACACATTTTTAGAAGTCCCAGCATGCCTGTCTTCAGTACATTTTCTCAATTTCTTGCCCGGTGTCAGAAAACAGCGCTCACTCAATTCGCAGTATGGAGGGCACAACATCTATATGCTAATGATCAATGCTCAGTTGATTTCTATTGACCTCCAGTGAGTCTGCAGTTAAATAGAAGTGCTGATTGCAAGCACTTTACTGGATTGCTACATAAATCTGTATGGAAAAATACCAGAAAGAGGCGACATTTTATGCGCATATTGCACAAAAATACTCTGTAATAGTAGAATTGGTTAAAGATGCACCACGTAACGTTTCTTTTTGGAAGTTCGCCACCTGCATGTTTTCATATAGACATCAGAAAATTTCACAGAATGGCATTAAAGGTTCTAGATTAAGCTAAAGTGATTCTTCTGAGTTTTAAACCATGTTAGAATGTTGTTACCTCCTCAAAGACATACCTGGAGTTGTGTTTTGTTTCAATCACACATGTCTGAGTAATCCTTTATTATTAGTCTGTCTATGTCTCCAAACCTCAGAATGCTCTGTTCCACCTTGTGATGAATTGGTAGTTTTCAGTGTAACCTGCTACCTTTTAGCTCAACAGAGATTGTCAGTTCTTTGGCTGAAATTATCAGGGTTTGTGTGAATGAAACAAAACACAACTCCAGGTTTGTCTTTCATGAGAAAACAGCATTGGAGAAGAAAATAAACAGCGCAATATGCTAAGACAGGAGTCATCAGCTTTTTTCTCCACATTATTGCTCTTGACTGTGATGGGAGCCGTGGTCGGGTCAGCCGTATAACAATATTGTGTGACCCTGACAACGCAGATTATATTCTTTGAAAACCACCACACTTTCTTTACATATCAGACAAACTGCACGGTCATTACACACAAAAATAATTGGTTGTCCACTGTTCTTTGAAAACTCTGCACTCTGCCAAGTTTTCGTACTTTAACAAGCCATTTTGCTGTCTTTAACTATACTACAAAACTCTGCAAATGTGTTGACTGTCACTCTTTGATCTCAAGCTTGTCGGTGACGAAAATTCTGCGGCAAATGTCAATATGTCATGTAATTATTTAAATATAAATATGAATACTTCGTATAAATATAATTTTTAATTGGCTTGGGGGCCGGTCAGAGAAGTGTGAAGGGCCAGAGTTGGCCCACGGGCCTTAGTTTGATGATCCTGTGCTAAGATATAATAAACTCATATCATGCATGTATCCATATTTTACCTTGAAATACATTAATTCTTGTCTTGCCCCAGATCTGACTTGGACTGCTTGTCACCATGGAGATAGACAAGTTTAAAGCCATATTGGGGAGCATTCTTGACAAACAACAACTGCATAGAGAAAGGTGGTCGACTCTCCATCAGAAAAATTATTTTATAATTTAATATGGCTTGGGTTTGGAATATTCTTTATGATTTGAGGAGTTTTTAAATTATTTACATATTACACCTCTGTATTATATTTATTGGTGTATCTCAAGTGTCCTTCCATTTTAAAACCACTCACAGCAAAATCATAACATCCCTGACTGAGGTAAAAGCCACAGTTGCAGAGGGCAGAGAGCAGATGGCAGGGGACTGGTGGAATAAGGAAGCACTGTAATAAATGAACCAGGCTCTTTCTGTGTGTGTACCGATAGGAAGGCCTGAACGATGTCCGCCTTGATGGAGCTGAGGGGCTTGTCCCTGATGACGATGAAGATCTGCTCTTCTTTTTCCAGGTTGATGAAGTTACCGAACCAGGATTTTTTGGCAAGCCTGCGGGGGGACGACAAAGAGGTGTTCTCATTAATGCAGCGTAAAGAGAAACAGAGTGTGGCTGTGGGGGATTGGAGAAGCAAACATAGCACGGCCTCAGGTAAAACAGCTACAATAAACAACAGGGGAGGGTTTGTGACATTTCACATTACACAGACTGGCAATGTGTTTATTTAAAGGTGCACTGTGCAACTTTTCTGGTGGAGGGTCAAATGCTTTGGAATGTTTCACAGTATGGTATTAAACCTTTTTATGTTCATGAAGACCAAACCAGACCAAGTTACAGGTCAGATCTGTGGAAAGGTGACCCCGCTCACAGTCAGAATGCCTGTTTTTCTCTGTATTTTTGAGCAACTAAACCACCTATAATTTAGTAAATGTAAAGTAGAGCTGTTTGAAGTCATACTGTGTGACATTCCAGGCAGAGCAATAAACTATCAATAGAAACAAGCAGGTGATGGACCCCCAGCCAACAAGTTACATAATGCACCTTTAAGTATACCCATGTGATGTTAAAATATTAGATTAGTAGTTCATTAGCCGCAAGTGTCTGTGAAAACCTTAATACATTCTTACAAACTGAACAGAACCTGGAGTCATAGTGAATAAAACGTGCTCATCTGGACTGTCTGAAGCTAGCCAGGCTGGCACCACCGAGGGCCGACGCTCAATTTAATTTCTCTCCAGCGACTAGACCGTTTGCAAGAACCCTGGCTGTAAGTTGAAGACTGCACACAGGCCAAACAGCAAAGAGCTGTGAAGCCGGCAATTACCCTGCGTTCGATTGTCTTTCTACTCCCATTTGGACCTCAGATTTGATGTCACGTCCGAGCTTTTTTTGATGTTTCCCATGTCGGAAGCCTGTTAAATCAAGTATTTGTTCAATATTGGCCTCACCACAACACCGACTACAATACCCATAGGCAGGGGTACAGACACGTAATGTACTGCAGTAATACGAGTAACTGAAATCATGATTTAAACCACCATAGTGTCCAAACACAATGAAAACAGTTCATATTTACACGTCACAATGGACGCAGCCATCTTGGAATCTGACTAGGAATCCTTGCTCAGTCGACTTTTTCCACTACCGAGGTCCGAGTCGCGCTGTCCCAGGAAAAGGGGCGTGTTTTCCTCGGAAAACCGATTCGGAAGGATAATCGAACACAGGCTTGCTTGGACACCACGGAGCGTTCCGGTGAATTACATATGTCTCGACCAAATAGCAGCAATTGGTTAAATAAAAAAGTACCCGTCTACCGTTGAGCGAACAAATCCTAATGTTGACAGTTTCCACAAAGTGAAACCGGCTAAATCAGGTTAGTCCAAAGCCCCCTCCATTGTAGATTTTTTCTTTAAGATTACTCTAGTCTATACTTTACATTTATACCAATGTTCGCGCTGGTCTGGCCCTCTTTTAATTTCACATCCTTTTCTTTCTTCATATTTCTGGAATTCAATACACATTTACAAGCTAGTAACACCCGCCCCTCCCACCTATGAGAAGGTATTCCCCAGCTTTTGTCTATTTCCAACTGATTTTTTATTTTTTTTTTTTTTCCCCAGCCAGGTGGAAATGTCCAGAGATAGACAGTCAGCCAAGCAAACAGGCATATCTGGGCCAGAGCTTCAGTAACCAAGCCCCTGGGAGCACATAGCATCACACACACAAACCCTCCACCTCATAACCCATCTTCACTACCTCCCGCTGAACCACTCTGCTATTACAGAACCTGGGGTCATTACTGCAAACTCAGCGGGCCAAATCAAACATTCATGGAGAGTTACATCAAAGTATGAGAGGGGAGTGTGTAGAAGAGCTCACAGGTGATGTACAGTTAATACAGATACACATATATAGATAGACTTACTCTGGGGAAGACTCTGGAGTGAGGCTGGACATCTCCTCTTGTGTGGGAACTGTCGGGAGATTAAAAAATAAACAGTGTGGGAATTATATTGGAGGTTTCTGAAATGTTATTGATACTTTGCAGCTGATGACATCTACGTTGCCTGGGGGTGTGATGCTAACTGTAGGCTCTGCTCTGTCTGAAGCTCTGTTAAGACATTAATCTGAGCTTTATTTCTATACAATCTGGAGTATAGTTTACCCCGGGTCCAGTGCAAGAAGAGGCTCCTCACAAAGTCTTCTCATGTGCATTTTTCATTACACAACATGCAGTCTATTCCCACCAAGATGATTTTTACCTAGTGCCCAGAATTTGGTGCCACAATCCTTTGGCATTTAGTTTATCCTCTTCTACAGTTTTATAATCATGTGATGGAAATTTATATTGTGGAAAGATTTCTCTCAATCTGTCTTTGTGTAAATGAATGTGATTTCTACTTGAGACCCAGACCAGTCATTAGCACGTGTAAAGGCTCAGCAGACACAACAGTCCCCACCCTACAGGAAACTGTGTGTTGTCTGGTTGTCCTCAGATGTATGCTTTGTTGATTAGCACCAGCCTGTGAAACAAGTGTCACTTTGCTTTGATATATATGTAACTTGTATTTCTGTATTCATACAGAGGGGCAGAGGGGGCACAGAATAAAGGCAGAGACTGGGGTCAAATGTGATAGGGAAATAGTGCTGGTGCGGAGAGGCTGTTGGTCTGTCCATATCTGCTGTAACAAGAATAAACCTTGGTCTGTATTCCAAAATCTCATTGGGCTTCATAAATGGATTAATTAGTTATCATCAAGAGGTACATAATTTTTTCCACAACAATCAATAACAATAGTTTTTTAAGTTTGGAAAGATGAAAAGGCATTCTAAAAATACCAAATATGCATAATCATATTAACAATAATACAATAAAATACTTGAATTTAGTGGTAATTATTCAAGGATATGATAACTCCAGTTTCTAATCAGCATTACCAATCCCAAACCAAAAATATTTAATCTATGTGCCTTTTTACTTATGCTTTTTTTTTTTTTTTTTGTATCTAATAAACAATAAGAAGATTTTGAACACAGCATTAACATAATAACAATTTAAGGAAGTCTTAGTATATTGAAGGTGACAAAGTATTGAGAATTGCATGGATCTACACCATTATTTAGTATTTACACTGTACCTTGCAGCTTTCTGCGGTGGAAGCGTGGCGATCCCAAAAAGCTGTTCTTGATGGTGTTGAGGCGCGTCCTCCAGGGCAATCCTCCGATGGACGGGCTGGGGGGCGGTGTGGGGGTGGGGGTCCCGGACGGGCTGTCCTTGGGCGTGTGCACCGGGGTCCCCTTGGGTGTGGGGAGGGGGCTTCCTCGAGGGGAAGGGTGCGGGGTGACCTGTATGAGGGGGATAGATTTGGGTGCACGGTCAGTAAAGGGCGCGGGGGGAGAGGCGGCGGGCGCGACTGGGTGAAAGTGGTGCAAGCGAATCGGGGATAAGGCCGGGGTAAGGGGCATGGAGAACTGGGGACCGGCCGCAAAGTAAGACCTTCTTCTCTGGGGGCTGTTGATGTACGAGAATGGGATGTGCGTGGGGGTGGGAGGGGGTATGGGCTTGGAAGGTGAGGACGGGGTTGGTGGGACTGAGGAGGAGGGGTGAGGCTGCGGGGGCGCTTGATCTGGAGACGCCGGTTCTGATTTGATTGCTTCATTGGTCGAATCGGGCAAGGGGTTGGAGCGGGTGGCGTGGAGAGGTTTGGGAAGAGCATTGGACCTAATCGGGAGCGTTTGGGTTTTATTGAGCGACGTCGGAACCAGCAGGGAGTCACAGTCCGGAGAGAGGGAGTTAGGAGTGGAGATTCTGGGGCCAGTGCGAATGGGAAGCGGATCCGGAGAAGGGCACGGACTGGAGTTGGGGGACTGCGCCAAATCTGGGGACTGGGGCGGCACACAGAACTTTCGGACAGGCTAGGGTTTATACAGATCAACAAGGACACAAGCAAAATTCAGGAATAAAAAAACAATGATATACACCGGGAACAGCGAAGGAAAAGCACAACAAAAACCAACCACACAAGGCAGGATGACAATATCCGATTATTCACATGCGCAGGAGAGGTTGAAGCATTGCAGAGAAAAGAAAAAGAAAAGGAAACATGCAGTTAGAGTATTCAGTGGCTCAAAGAATCGACAGAAACAAATAAAAAACAATAAGAAAGCAGCCCCCTCGCTCTGTTAAATCATAAGGGCTGGAGCAGGCAGGGAGGCAGACACACAAGAGCTAGACACACACCACCAGCTGTGAAGACAATTTGTTTTTTCAATAACAAAAGGTGGATTATAAGATCTCACACTGCTATGAAATTCCCACTTTCTGTCAGCTATTTGTTGATGGTTCAGATTCTAATAGTGAAATTACTTGAACAATACAAGACGCTTCCTACAGCTCCCCTGCAGTTACCAAGGGACAAATGGGCAGACATTACGACAGACGTTTATTTCTTTTCACGGTTACTACAATACACGCTTTGTGATTAAGGTGTTGTGAAATTGATTTCCTTTTCAGATGAGACCAAAAAGCGTAGGGCAGTGGAGCTCCGCGTAGGATCGCAGACTACAGTTGTCTTGAGCCCTGTTAACGGTTCCCAGCTGGAAAAGTTTAGCAAGCTAAAGGGGAGCGAGGTTTTATTATCTGGGGTATTCCCTGAGCGGCCTTTTGGAGGATATGAGAAGATTATCAGAGTAGATCTTAAAAATCCCCAGAATAATTTTGTAATATTGGCACTATTAGCTCTAATAGTGTAATATAGTGCAGTGTAATGTAATGTTAGGCATTCCAAGTACTGAGCTAAGAAATGATACGCATTAAACTTTACCTAAATTGTGGTTTCTTTAGGAGGACTATCTGTATTGCTCTAAATCTTCTTTTTGCAACAGCCAGAAGTGCCCCGGTTAATGGTTTTCTATGGCAAAATATCTGTGGAAATGTCTCACATATTTTCCACCAGCTTCATAAAACTGCCTACATCTCATCAAATCTTCATCCAACAAGGTCGACAAAGCACATATTCTGTCCATGAAGAATTTATCCACAACTATCAAGGTAAAAAAGATGAAAACGTAAAGGTTAACAACGACGAGCATTAGTGAACTACTCCTGAGCAAAACTAATGTTACGGTCATGAATAAAACATAAGTAATAAGTAATTGATTAGTAAGTAACTTGTGAAGTCAGACTGATTCAAGAATTAAAATAAAAAATCTATTTCATGATGTAGATATTTGCATAGATTTGTGCAGATTGAATTCTACAGATGTTCACAGATTACATGTCTAGCATTTAAACCAATATCTACATCATGAAATAGATTTTTTATAGAATCAGTCTGAGTTCACTAGTTACTGATGTTTTATTCATGACCATAATGCTAGGTTTGCTTAGGAGTAGTTCACTAATGCTCGTCGTTATTCGCCTTTAAGTTTTTGTCTTTGTCGACCTTGTTGGATAAAGATTTTGTTATGGGGTAGACAGATTTATGAAGCTGGTGGAAAATACGCAAGATATTTCCACAGATATTTTGCCATAAAAACCATTAACATAAGTGATGTTTACCCTACATCGCGGCACTTTCGTTGTGATAAACGTCTATAGCAATACAGATATAGTCCTCCTAAAGAAGACCACAATTTACGTACAAGTTTAATGCTTATGATTTCTTAGGAAAAAACATTAGATCAGTACTTGAAATGGCTAATATTTTCTTAGATGGCACCTGTAAAAAGGTTGAGAACCACTGAATTGCACTGTGCTACATGCTTGAAGACTCAAAAGAATTAAATAAAAATATGAATTAAAAATGAAGAAAATGTGCTTACAAAATAATTCTAAAGTTTGTAAAAATAAGACATTTTAAAAGTGCACTATTCTAAGCATAAGGATTATTTTTGGACACGCTCTGAAACATTAAAACAACATGCTGAAGAAAATCCACTTTGATTTGTAAGTAGTATAGTATAGCAGTGCTTTAAAGGTCAAATCCCTTATGTTTCTGACAGCGTGGTTGCGAAGAGTGAACCCTGAACCCTGTGCATGTCCAGCTCCACACCTGCAGAGGGGGCGCATGCATGCAGCCGAGGTCAGACTTACCCGTGGGCTACTGAGAGGGCTGGTGGACAGACCGGAGGAGGCCCCGCTAATGGACCGTGACCTGTGGCAATAACACACAAACACACGAACCAGTCAACATGCGAATCAGGTCTATGTTCCACTTAACACGTGTGCAGCTTGGAGGTTACCACGGCTCTAAAGCATATGGTGCTAGTTTGCTACGTCTCCTTAGAAACACAACACCTAGAAACAGAGCGAACGCAGGTATTATTCGCAAGGACTCGTGGGCAATGTCTCAAACCAATTATGTCGCCAAATGAGTTTTCAAATTTCTTGGTTAATTGCTCCACTTGGAAATCTATAGGCTAATTTACACTCTTAACAGTTTTATTGGCTTTTTTGAATTGAAATACCTTGAGGGAGCTCAGCAAAATATACTGTAATTTGTGAAAGAAATACTTATTAAAAAGGTACACTTTTCTGGTTTCCATCCCTGTTTGCTTCCATAATCCGTGTATCATTCGTTCATTCATTTTTCAATATAAGACCAAAAATAAGAAAAAAAAAACTGTTTTCTTCATTATTTGTCTCCAAAACCCAAATGAAAAAATGGATAACAATTTAATTTTTTCAGTTTTCAATTCTGTGTTTAAATGAATAATGGAAAAAATGGATAACGGCTGTTTCCCGTTTCCGTGACTTAAACTGCGATGCCGCATACGGACTGAACCAGGACTGAACCAGGACTAAACCAGGTCCGGTAGCAGACTGAGCCCGGGATTGAGACCGGGACCAGACCGGGACCAGACCAGAACTGAGACCAGGACTGAGACCAGGACCAGGACTGAGAACAAGACCAGGACCAGGACTGAGACTGGGACCAGACCGAGACCAGACTGAGACTGAGACTGAGACTGGGACCAGACCAGGACTGAGACAGTTTAGTCCTAGTTTAGTCTTGTTTTAGTCCTGGTTCAGTCCTGGTTTAGTCCCGGTTCAGTCCGTATGCGGTGCAAAAGTCGGGCATCGCAGTTTAAGTCATGTAAACGGGAAACGGCTGTTATTCATTTATTCTATTATTCATGTAACACAAAATCAAAAACTGAAAAAAAACAAACCGTTATCCATTTTTTCATTTGGGTTTTGGAGACAAATAATGAAGAAAATAGTAGTTTTTTAATTTTCTTATTTTTGGTTTTATATTGAAAAACAAATGAACGAATGATACACAGATAGAATTGCGTTGCCTTGAATGTTCTACAGTATGAAAATAAACACACAATGGGCACAGGAGTCTGGACAGATCTGTGGAGAGGCAAGCCTGTACATAGTAAGAATTCATGTTTTTCAAGGTATTTTCAAGTTATAAAACACCTTTTAGTTTAATGCCATACTGTGGAATATCCCTGTCAAGAAATAACATCTCCAGTGAAGTTTACTCAAATCATTATAAAACTTTTGCCATTCAAGTCATTTTAACTTGGCTAGATTTTTGTTTTGCAGTGTTCAGAAATTAATATTCAGAGTGTGAGTGATTTCAAATAACTTAGACATTCGATTTTTGCAAAGCGGAAATACAGAGGGACATTTGGTCGTGTTCTATTTCTCATATTCTCCTCACAGATGCTGTCAATAACCCCTATGAGCAGGGCAGGCTCCAAAAATGAACAATCACAGGCCAATCTGTCTCCATCAAAAAGACACACACACACAAACATACACATGTGCACGTTGTCACACGCACACACACGCACACACACACACACACACACACACACACACACACACACACACACACACACACACACATACACACACACACACAGGGCTGTCAACACAAGGAAACAGCAGCTGCTCACTGTCACAACACTGTTTCTGTTTGTCATTCAGACCAGAGTTACCCCCTCCTTGTGAGCCTCTTGAGCTCTCTCTGTTTCATCACTCATGCATTTGAGAACATGTGGCCAGGCATAAACATTTGGAGGCGATGAATATAAGATACAAGAGTTTGGACGCAATCGTGGAACAGCACAGCGGAGTTTATCAATAAGATATCATAAAGTTTAGTTTTGCTTTGAATGACATTACGCAAATCTACCTTACCTTACATTTATTCAATTCATGTGCTTTTATTGATAAAAAATACATTCTGACCATGAGCAGGGTTGTCACGCCAAGGATCTGACCTGTAACTTGGTCTGATTTGGTCTCCATGATGATAGAAAGGTTTAATACATACTGTGAAACATTCCAGACAAAGCAATAATATGCAAAGTGGATACTATTTACTTATACGTTCCTACATTCCACTTTCTACTCCACTGCATTTTAGAACAGGACTGAAAAGTAAAAGTGTTTTTTGTTATTTTTTGAGACCTGCTGCAAAGACTGAGGGTTTATTTTTGACATGTTCATGATTGGAGCAAACAAAAATATACAAATAAAAACAGCTTGGAGAAATGACTGATTTCAATTGTTTCTACTGAACAAAATTCAGCACCAGTGTTGAATATGAGCAAAATACTTTTACTTTTTAAACATATACTTTAATATGTTTACTTAAGTCAATCTTTTCATATGATAAGATATGATTTTTACAAGGAGAAGATGGCTGAGAGGTTAGTGCTCTTGCATCACAGCAAAAGAAGGACCATAGGGTACTCCTCTATAAGATCAAGAGAAGGGCCCTTGCATACTGGACCACAGTTGCCCATCCTTGAAAGTATAGTGAGGCAACCTAATGAGTTAACAGCAGCAAGAGGCATTACGGACAACTTTGAAATAATAATAAAGGTGTCATTTGTGGTTTTCATGTTTGGTCGGCCAGTGGAAAATACAGAAAGTAGAGTTTTTTGTTTTTTTTTTAAAAAAGCCCCCCTATATATTTGTGGCATCATCAACACAAAATTTGATCCAAAATGCAGCAACAATGTGTAGGCAAGGGACAGATTTTTCTGACTTACTAAAATAAAGTTACTCCTTACATTTCATTCACCAAATAATACAGTGTAAATCACGTTATATCATGTTAAAGGTAGAGTATAAAGCTTTTTGCAGGTGGCAGGTCATCTGCATGATTCAAAGGAAGTAGAAAGTTAAAACCATACCAAACATTCGCCACGGAGATAGATACGTTTTATGCTTTAACATGGAAGGTTATAGCCAAAGGAACATGTCCATGGAAACAAGCAGGAGTAAGCCCGCTTGCATTTTATTTGAGTCGATTTTTCTGGCTAAAAAATTAACTTTTTAGACTTAGACAAAATTTATTGATCCACAAGGGAAATTACTTGGACACAGAAGCTTGCACATCACAATATATTATAATAATAAAGAGCGGCAATATGAATGGTAATAATAAATTCAATATAAGTAGCAAAAAAAAACAAGAAAAGCTTCGACTTTGTTTAGAGAAAAACGCAGCCTGACCTGTTCCATATTTAACTGGTTCAAATATGAATGAATAACTTAAAGATAACATTTTTCTTATACAATTTTTCTCCACTCTACTTTAAAAACTGGAGGAGGGGTGCATCTCTGGAGAGGATTTAGAATAGTCCAGGAGAAGCAGCAGCGCTAACAGCCACACTGAGAGAAAGAAGAAAAAATAGCAAACACCCACACTTCAGCTATTTTTATCTGACTCCTACTGGCCCCTGCCTGCGTGGAGTGGATACATCACACAATGGTGCACACATGAGGAGGAGACCATCAGACAGCGTTGGCCGTGCCTCCTCCATCTTCTAGGAGCAGCTGAGCAGACAGTTGCTATCATTCACTATTCACAGAGACATGCGCGCGCTGTTGTGGCTGCATTGTGTACGCACTCAATTGCACTAACGCCAAATACGGTGCATCCTCAGGCCGGTTAGGAGCATATTGTGGGAGCCTCCGGGCATCTGCCGGTGTTGGAAGAACGGCCCTATAGACGCTAATGTTACAGATGGCGGTGCGGTACAGTAATGGGCTGTCAGTGCTGAGCAGTGATTTCATAGGGATGATAAATGGCACTTGACAAGAGCCTTATTTATGGGGAAAAGCAAATGACACCTAGCAGTCATTCTGGCAACACGCTGCAGTTTACATTACATTACATGTGGAAAACAGAAAACTGGGAAACAAAAACGGTGAGAACTGGAATAACAGAAATAAAGGTTGGTTAACTTTGTGCTAGAGGAAATAAAAAGATTTCTTTTAAAGGGACAGTCTAGAATTTTGGACATAGGACCTCATTTCCTAGTGAGCCAGAGTGTTGGAGATGTGTGGAGACACTTTTTAAAATATTCCATCCAGTCCTTGTATTTGCAGAGGTCACTGGTGCTAGGCTAGTGCATTCCAATGGCCATAGTTATCCTGCCATTAAAAACAGTTTTACCTACTCCACAAAGCACCCGAAGCAAATCTATTATTACACCAGACTGTCGATGTAAATGTCTGTGTTGATGAATAATGTTTGAAATAAAACTAACCTTGCATAGCATGAATCGTCACATGTTGAGGGACTATTTTCTCAGCAGCAGCGGAATTTTACTTTGCTGGTAAGATAGGTGCTAGGTGATATCAGTCCGCTGCTGCCAAACTTTCTATCAGAAACTACAACTCATTGCTGCTACTCAGATATAAATCTTTCAAATGAAAGGTTGGTTTTACTTATAAAATTATTCTATCAACACAGACATTCACATTGACAGTCTGGCGTAATAATAGATTTGCTTCGGGTGTTTTGTGGAGTGGGTAAGACTGTTTTTAGTGGCAGGATAACTATGGCCATTGACATGCGCTAGTCTAGCACCAGTGACCTCTGCAAATACAAGGACTGGATGGAATATTTTAAAAAAGTGTCTCCACACATCTCCAAAACTTTGGCTAAAGAGGAAATGAGGTCCTACGGCCAAAATTCCAGACTGTCCCTTTGGAAGGTGCAGTAACTTGTCTCCATCATGTTCCTGCTTTGACTGAAATGTTCCACAGCATGGCATAAACGTATTTATCTCCATGCTTTAATTTAGTTTAGTTTAGTTTATTTGGCCTGTCTTTACATTTAATTTACATTACATTACATGGGTACATAGAAGCACACATAGCCCAAGAGGAGTATAC